CCATATTTGGGCTTTGATGGTTTTTCCGTCAACTTGTATACTTCTGGTAGCAAATTCTACTCCGATAGTGGACTTTGACTCTAAATTAAACTCGTTTCTTGTAAACCGAGAGAGAAGATTTGACTTGCCAACACCTGAGTCGCCGATGAGAACAACTGTGGAAACATAGGACAGGACAAAAAGTGTCAGAAAAGTTCTCGCAACATCTGTCCAGCGATAGGCAAAAACAAGATGTACAATATACATACCTTTAAAAAGATAGTCGTATTCGTCATCTTTCGTGCCCATAGCGGTAACCTTTGGTAAATCCTGATAAATATAACGTCTTTCAAATCTTACGCCACCTTATCACAGCCTCCTGCTTCGCAAATTCGTTTACAGCCGGAAATAGTGACGAAAAAAGTCAAAGGAGGTATCTCAAATCTTCTATTACCAAAAAGCCTTGAAAAAGGCCAGAGGATGGCAAGGATTTCTTGTAGATTGTAGTTTTTCAAACGGGCGGAAGCGATACAAAATGGCCGCCCTTCCAGGAGTGGGCCTGGAGGATTCCAAATTTGGAAATGATCTAAGCGCCTGGGAACGAGACCACAGCAAAGCCTCCCGTTCCACTGTCACACATTCTGTCACACTATCAATTAACTGTCACACTTTCACACTTTCCAAGAACTTCTCGATTCTCAGTGTACGACCTGATCTTGACTTTGAATTTTTTTCATTCAGAAAAGTCTCTCCAAAGTTTAACACCCGTGAAAGCAAAACTAATTCTTAACATAGTTCAGTTCTTTTGGCACTTTTTGGCAGTTGAAGATTTAAGCTAAAAGACCAGGGCCATAATTGTAAAGATTTAAGTGAACATTATAATATGTCGGTATGGTTTTCCATTTTAACAAATCTTTTTGTTGGCGTTCTAATCTAAGTAGAGATAAGAGTAATCAAACCATGATTTCTTACTGCAGTAAAGCCGGCCTGGTCTGAATAACGGACACTGTCAACTGTCTCTTAACGACACCTCTGTAAGACGGACACCTCTCTAGGACGCTTGAGAATCGCTTTATGCAGTAATCAATACCTCAAAACGAGTTCGCAGAGTGAACTACGCTTTTAGACAACAAACGCGGGGGGGGTACTCCCCATAATGGCCCATACGGAGAGGCTCCGCCCGAAAGGGTTACCTTTTTTTGGCCGCAGGTATATGAAAGGGTAGGGATTTTACTCGTAGAAGTGTATGAAATGGTAGGGAAATCTGCCATTTGGGTCTGTGAAAGGGCCCAAAGGGCTAATGGATTTTATGGCTGTATAAAGTCAAGAAAACGTTCTATTTTTGTGATTAATTCCTATTTAAATGACAGTGCATATACAGCAGATAAAAGGGTTGCAAAGTTCTAAACTAGGTATGTGTAAGAGGTACCATTTTTCAATATAAGGTATACGAAAGGGGTACCCTTTTCGTGAAAAATGGTATATAAAAGGGTAAGGGGCTAGACGTCGGGGCGAAGCCTCCCCGTATAAAAAACTGTTGAGTGCCCCTCCGGGACAACAAAGCCGTAAACGTTTGCTTACAATGAACGTTTGATTGCTCAACTAAGAAATTAAAAATGATTCCACTTTTCTGTTTCAATGTTCCAGTTTTAGCTGAACGTTTGCACAAGTTAAACAGACGATTATATTCAAAGCGAATGGGTTCAGTTTAAGTTTTTACTGATGTCATGTTACCTCTATAAGTCCGACACTTCTCTAAGACGGACAGTCGGGTGTAGGGAAGTGTCGTGACAAGTTTCATTTTAACCAACAACAACAACCTTGCGTTAGTTTTACCTTTTATTTGATTGACATTTTGACATCGGAGAAACAAACAAATAGAGTGTTGGAAAATGAAATATTTTGATTTGAAATAAGGTGAGGGTTTGGAGAACCGGGCGGCTTTTACAAGTATCTCAAAAGTTGAAAAAAAAAATAAAACATGAGGATTCACCCTCCAAAACTGAATTAGTCACAACTGCTTCGGCCAGCCAAATTAAGTAATCGGCTCCTGGTACTCAGACTACCTTCTTCTGCAGCAGGTTAGGTGATGTACAGGCTAGGTTATAGCCCCGCTCGACCAAAGGCCTGTTCACAGGCTAGCTAGCTTACGGGTCAGGTGGGGTCATCTGAATCACAGGCTACAAAATTGTTTAGACACTTCCATCTATTTCTAACTCTTACGCCATTTTACTATCTCCTCTAAACAGAAAAAGTAAGTCCCTTTCCTACCCCCAATACAAAGTTGTTTTGGTCTTAAAAACAACCCCTCCCCCTTGCTTGTCCTCAGGGCTTTTTCCTTTGCCCTGGGGACGAGGCTGAGTCGAGCGCGAGGCTGGTTCCCAGGGTTGTCTAAAGGAAACGGCCTACACTTAATTCCATCCGCCAAACTGACGTTGACACATTAATGATTCGTACACAAAGTAGGGTTAGGGTTAGGGTTATATATTTAAATCAAACTGGTATTCATCACCAAATCCTCGGTGGTGTAGGGATTAGAGTGATGCGCTCCAGATCGGATGGTCCCAGTTCGAATCCTACTCATTCTATCCTGAGTTGTTTTTTTCCTTAAAAATTGAAGACACTTTGACTTTTATGAACATTTCATCAAGAACTTTCATATAAGAAAAGTGAAATGTCTTGTGAGAGGAGGATGTCAGTTTGGTGGATGGAATCAAGTGACGACCAAAGGAAACATGAGGTATCTAATAGGCCATTTGCACGGGACGTCATTTCACTACTACGACCAGAATCCTTCGAGTTCTGCTTTCTTATGCAAATCAGGGCTTTTGTTAGCTAGGCTTGCTGGAAGCATTTTAAAAACATATGAATGGAAAGCACAAAAGGATTCTGGTCGTAGTAGTAAAATGACGTCATCGTCCAAATGGCCTATTCTCATGTTATCCTAAACAACATTGAATGGGGGGAGGGGGGGAAACGGACATTCATTTGGCGAGGGTTTCCGTTTTTTTTTCAGGATGACAGGAAAAAATGGTTTTTTTGAGATGTGTCTTAACGGGTTTTGTGCGAGGTTGCATGTAGTACTGTTTGACTTGATAAAAAGTAAGAAGCCTTACATTTTCACAATACTGGAAAATCTTTCGGTTAAAACTAAGACTATAAGTCGGCAAACACCATCAGGGAATAATGCTTACCACAAAAAAGGTGAAATAAATCGCCTTCAAAGATAAAAAAATTAATATAGACTCACCTGAGTATTTTTTTATCTGGCAGCAAATTTTTGAAAGAAGCGGCAGATTTAGCAAAAAGCTATAGTTATTTTTAAAATGAAAATAATTATAATGATAAATGACGATAGCAATAATGAATAAATAAATAAATTTTGATCTTTTCGTTATCAGGTACTAGAACAATCGGCACTTGCACCACCCCGGAAGTCCTAATTAATAGGACTGAAAAATTAGGGGACTCTGTAAAGTGCGGATCCGGACGGCGGATCCGGACGGCGGATGCGGACGGCGGACGGCGGACGGCGGACGGCGGACAATAATAATTTTAAAAAATAAAAATAAATAAAATAGACGTAAATAATAAATAATGAGAAAAAAAAAGACTGAATAATGAGAAAAAGATGTAAATTTTTGTAAACTTTAGAGAAATAAGAAATATTCACTAGCAACCCGGAGTGCTCTTGTGTGTATCAACTGTTGGTGTTCCAAAAATCATTTTCTTTCTTCTATCCCTTCTTTAAACCTCTTCAAATTCCATTTAAATTCAGCTATCTATTTATTTTAGTTATTCTTTAGAGGAATGACTTAAAGGGGCTATGTCGCGAGGTTTCGCCTAATTTTAGTAACTTTAATTTACACTTTTATCTGTCAAAATTCTTTTGTCCACTGATACGAAAGGAACCAGGACTCGAAACGGAACCAGTGGCCACGTACACAAGAGCTATTGCTTTATTTTTATTTAAGTCCAACAATTTCATCGCTCTTTTCTCAAGCGAAACAAAATCAAAAAAATGTTAGGTTTGTCTGTGGCGGTAAAGAAGTACAAAGCGAAGACTCTGGTACCATGTTAATATGCTGCAGCGTACTATATTTAGTCAACAGAGGAGAAGAACCTTCGTCCAACAAACAAACAAAACTTTATTAAGACGTATCCATGTTCAACAGATTTCTATCGCTACTCGTACATATTGAGATATTTAGCCGTCCGTTTTCAGAATCGGAAAAATAACCGGGCCAATGGTGTTGCACTATATACGTACAATACATAACAATTCACGGAAGGGCATAAACTGGAAACATTTTACTGAGAAAGTCAAGCTGTTGATCGGTTAGCGAAGAACGTATAAACCATGGCATGCTACAATGAGAGAAATATGGCTGTTTAGCCCTAATACAGGCACCACTACAATGAAAATATACATTGCTTTGCTTGCTCCTCATTTGCCCTCCGTGCTGGAAGCTTCGCATCATGTTGGAGGCTACGACTAGATCATGAGGAGGAAGCGGAATCTGCCCTCCCGGTTTAAGGGTGTTAGAACACCCATAACATATGCTCACTTGAGGTGGGCAGAACTTTAAGGGATAAACAATAAACTGCCCTGGCAGTGGGGATGGATATGGAACCCGCCCAAGCGCATTTGAAGGACTTAAAGGAAATGTCAGGGGCAGCTCTGACGGTTGCGAAACCACTGGTTGCGGAGCTGCGAAGGGCGGAGCTGCGAAGGGTGGTGGCGCTGCAGATGGAGAGGGTGGAGGCGCTTTGTAGGCTGGTGGCACTGCGGTGGGAGGTAGTACAGGAGAGGGCGTCGGCGCTGCGGAGGGTGATGGAGCTTGCTCACTGGCACTTGGTCGAGGCACAATGTTGACAGCTTGCCCTCTACCACCTTTCCTACGCGACGTTGAAGGTCTCTGGGATTTTTGCCAACTGTTGGCGCGCTGTCACAGGTGACGTAACTCGTTGTAGTTAAGGTGTGGCTGCTTCTCTTAAACCAAGTGAGATAATTCTGTAATTTACCGCACTTCTCTGCCACGGCTAAAGAATGTGCACATATTTTTTGTAGACTTATAACGAGGACAGTCCTCGCATGTCACCTTCCCACTTTCTGCTAGTACAACATAATGTGGCCTTCCCTTGTCGCTTTCAACCATAAACGTATGGGGCTTAAAAGGTATTTCCACAATGGAATCTTTCTTGAGGAGAAGAATGGATGCTTGCCGGTACATCTCTTTTAGGGAAAGAAGAGCTACACCAGCTGCACCTGACTCCTCTGGTCTTACAGACAGCTCTGGAGGGCTGGTAAGGGAAGTGTTCTCTTCCTTGTCATCGTTTACATTACCACTGTCATCCTGCACATCAACATTTCTTCCAGGTACTTCTTCCCAGAACTTTTTCAAATGCCTTTCACGCTGACGAGCATTCAGGGAAAACCACTTGTCAGGAGACATTTGTAAGTGAAGGTAGTCGTCTGTGAGAGCATATGGACCTCTGTTTATTACGGCTGATTCACAGTCCCGTCGCTGCTGCTGAATTACTTTCTCCATCTTGTCGTTAAATTGTGACATTTCATTCTTTTGAAAGTCTACTCCCATTTTAATAATTTTATTTGCTGATTCTGGCATGTTGTTATAATATGCTTCTGGAGGATTTCCTAGGCCTGCATTCAACCGAATGGGGCGCAACATGTTGTCTTGGATCATTTTTTCCTGAAATAAAATGAGACAATGTTGTCCTTTAATTTAATAGCATAAGGCGTAAATTCTCTACATTTTCCATAACTATACATAAAACAAGGATTGTCGTACTTCAAAACGTTTTTTCTTTTTTTAAAGTACAAGTCAAGCTCGTGATTACGTTAAAAAGTTCCAAGTTCCGGAAAACGCAATAACAAAGGGATCTCTAGCTGGCTGGTTTAGAAATGAAAGGCCAGATGTCCGATTTCAATTGCAATTTGTGTCATTGGCCAACTGTTACTTACATAGCACCTCCAGTAAAATGAAGGTCTTGCATAAATATAAGAATATTGAATGAAACCGTTGCTATATGAACCGCGCATGTTATTACAAATGGCGATGACATAAATTCTCCATATTCCACACAGAAAACCGTGTGGCATGAAATTTGCGCGCAATCTAACTTTCGCGAATTTTGCGGGGTTTCCAGCGTTTCACGAAATGTGATATCGTAAAAATAAACTCCGGCCATAAAAGCTGAATTTAAATTTGAATTGAAAACATTACCAACATTACAATTACAACAAATAGGGAAGAGTCTCTGCGGTTTCTGAATAAATTTGATAAATCGAGTTGATATATTTGTTACCAGAAACCCAAATTACCAAAATTAAACTCCCGCAATTCAAACATTTCCTAAGTACATGAACTGCTGTCACCTTTTCCGAGATATATTTGTGAAATGAAGGTTGCTTTCCAGCAGGCAGATGGGCCTTTTCTCGCTCATCCCACACGTCCTTTAGTGACACCAACTGAGCTTGAAAGTCAGCTTCTGTCTCGCAATCCAAAAGACCTTTATCAGTGAGAAACGAAATAAAGTTTAGGATTTTCCTGCAACCTCGTTCCCATTGCCCTTTCTTTCCCTTTCTCATAGGGAGGGGATCTGATATAGTGAAAGAGTACACGCAAACTTACCCCCACCGTGGACCGTACAAGGGGAGGAGAAAAGGGAAAGAGGGGGAGAGGGGGGTGGTTGCAACCCCTCCCTGGGTTTTTGCAGTGTTACTATATTTGGGAAATATTTTATCTAAAAAGATAAGGAAATTATTAAGGGTTATGGCGCTGCTGGGGTCCGTGACGTTATCTTGGATTTTACTAAAAATCGGAAATTGAAAATATCTTTGGCTAGAGTTGTAAAACTCACTGAAAAAAAAAAAAAAAAAAAAAAGGTTAAAAATATGCATTTTTAAATATGGCTTGCTTATGCTTATGACGTCATATCTTGTTGCCATATAAACCGATTGTGTCTCACAGATAGACGAACAGCTAGTAATGACGGCACGGACTAACAACAAAATTGTCTTGAAATCATCCTCCCCCTTGTACGTTCGAGGGTTAACTTACCAGCTTCCATGCTACCATTTTCAAGCCTGCGTCCAAACACGTCATCCAGGAACTCCTTTTGAACTTCTCGTGGGAGGGCGCGCAGCTGTTCTTTACAGTTGTCCCTGAAATGCCCAAAGCATCTTAAGTGGATGCCGTGGTACATGTTGCGTTCCATTGCTTTGAAAAGAGGCTCTTCACCATCCGTACCGAAGGCCAGTACGTTTCCAATATCTTTGTTTAAGCTAACCAGTTTGGAAAAGAAGTAGTTATAGGCGTCATACGTCTTTGTTTGGTGCATGAATAGGGGACCAATCATCACAGGATGCCTGCGCGTTTTACGATCAAATATATGAATATCACAAGAACGAACATTGGTGACATTATGGCACATTCATCCCGGGAGGGGGGGCATCTCGCATATAAAAATCACGGAGTGCTCATCGGAAATTTTCAAAAAACACCCTAAAAGGTAGCAGAATCTTGTTTGATGAGTGTGGCTTGATACCCTAAAAGGTACTGTGATAATTCTAACTGTGGTCATTTTAGATTTTAGCATCCTAAGCGGTACCGATGTACAAATGTTGACCGCCTAAAAGGTATGACGAGCAGCCAATCATTTTTAAAAGGGAGCCCCCCACTGGTATATTCGCATTCTATTTATACATGTGACTTTAACCGAAATCCTTCGTTGACTCAAGTTTAAAATAAATCAATTTCCACTTACCCAGCTATCGATGTTTTCTTAGCCTTAGCCTTACTGATCTCCTTATTTAGCGCCTTTCGCCACAAACTCCCTATAAATAAAGAAACGAAAGAGGGAGCGAATAAAGCAAGGCTGGAGAAACGCAAAGAAGAAACTTCGTTTGGCACACTTTGGGACAGTACGCAGCTCCAGGTCTAATGAAATTAGACTAAATTAAACTAATCTAGTAAAGTAGGTTTTGCAATAACCGGTATTTACCTGAGCTCTTCCCAGTTGTGGTTTTCTTGTGTCGTTTGAATATTGGTGACGAGGTCGTGTCAGGGGGGGCAAAAACACTGTAAATTGTGAAATAATGATTAATAAAATGAATAGCAGTTTGACTAACACTCAAAAACCTTTTTACTTGTGAAAGAAAACATGGTAGAAAATGCGGAGTGTAGTCCCGGGGGGGGGGACTCCCTTATAAGGGCTTAATGCGGCCAGCCAGGGTATGTTTTTCGGGATTTTTGTCTTAAACAGGGTATCGATTTTATCATTTTTTGTCTTAAACAGGGTATCGATTTTTTCATTTTTTGTGTTAATCACGGTATCGATTTTATCAACTGTTAAGAGCTCCTCGTGACTCTGTCAATCAAGCTGTAAATAGTTTTGTGATTGCCAATGGATTAAATAAGAAAGAGTTTCGATATTTATTATTGTCTTACACAGGGTATAGTTTCGGGTTAAATGTCTTAAACAGGGTATCAAAAATCGGAATTCTGTCTTAAACAGGGTAGGAAAATCAGCGATTTTTGTCTTAAACAGGGTCAGGGTGTGAGGGACCGGGCCGCACCAAGGATATATCGAGTACCCCCCCCGGGAGTGTAGTCAAGTCAAACCAGTATGTGCGAGCAACTTGATACCATATCTCAGCAAGAAATGCTCTTTCATAGTTTGCCTGGTCACGTCCGCACTAATTGGTTGAAATACTATACCAGGTAAATTTAAGAACATCTTTAAGAACGTTTCAGCCTCAAATCGCCAAAAGAACGCTCAGCCTCGGCATCAAACTTAGACGTTCTTATAAAAAAAAGAGTGTATTCTTGTCTCGCAGAAATCTCAAGCAGGCGCGTTGCATTTTGAATTACATAGCTCCACCCCCTACTGGCATGATTGACGGAACAGAAAAACCCCAAATCCTTCGAACTTTGTATTTCGCGCATCGCGATACAACGAATTTGGCTGCAAAAAAAAAATAAAATTTGGTGATTTTATTACTTCGAAAAGAGTAGTTTGCTTGTCCAGGTTTCGTACAGGGGCAGGGGACAGGAGAAAGAAAGGGCCGCCAGGCAAGGCCTCCCACCTTTTATGAGTTAAAAATAGGCAGGACGTTATGTCCTGTCGTTTGACATATGCATGGTTCAGTACTTTTACAAGAAATAATTATTTTCTGAAGTGTACATATGGCGCTCTCGTCCGCTTGTTTCCACTATGAATCCGGCACTGTTTTTGCGCTGTAATCAGAAAAACGGCATACCATTTGTGACAGTTCCCGGCCGGACTGATCAATTTGTAAATATTATGACACTGCTGTTACAGTGCAGTTGCAGTGCAGTTTGCAGTTACCACACTTCGCATTTTCTACACTTCGCATTTTCCACACTCCACATTTTCTACCACACTTTGTACCACAAAACCAAATTTCCTACACTAAAAGTCCGCGTTTTAAAGGTTAAAAGGGTTAAAAGGTTACTTGCCTGCACAATAACTCTGACTCTGATTCCGATGACCCTGAAAGAGATATAAAGCATTGCGGCAAACACCAAACACCAAATAAAACAGACAACTGCGCAAAGATGAACTTACCACTTCCAGATACTACATCAGCGTAGCTTCTCTTGTTCATTTTGCAAAACCAAAACAACAAACCAAAATTCTGCAAACCAAAACAACAGATCTTCTCTTCGCACGAGTTGCTAGTGAAATCCGAGCCAGCCACGTGTCTGGCCACTCTGTTTGACTCCTCTCCGAAGATTTCCGACAGTGATTCCGACAGTGATTGGAGAATGTCTCGACTAATAATGATTTTCTCTTTTTTTTTTTTTATTTCTCGCTTTTCTTATGTTTTCTTATTCATTTATCTCGTTTATTTATTTTATACGTCTATTTTATTTTATTTTATTTTTATTTTTTATTTTATTTCTATTATTTTATTTTTTTTTATTATTGTCCGCCGTCCGCCGTCTTATTCATTTATCTCGTTTATTTATTTTATACGTCTATTTTGTTTTATTTTATTTTTATTTTTTTATTTTTTTATTATTGTCCGCCGTCCGCCGTCCGCCGTCCGCCATCCGCCGTCCGCCATCCGCCATCCGCCGTCCTTATCCGCCGTCCGGATCCGCACTTTACAGAGTCCCAAAAATTAGAGACTTAATTTTTGTTGGGATCAGTCGTTAGGTAGACTGCGCCGTGAGAGTTTCTTGTTTTCAGTATAGCGTACAGAGTGCAATTTGGTAGAGAGCGAACGAGCCGTGATACGACCAGATAAGAAACTGGAAAAGAGCTTGTACGTTATCGGAGGGGGGCGTAAGGGTTTGCGGTATTGCGGTATTGGGTCATTTTTGGTGCGGTGTTGCGGTAATTTTTATTTCAAAGTACGGTATTGCGGTTTTCAGAGTCCAAGCGGTTTGCGGTAAGTTTAAATTTTACGACGCGGTAGTCGGTGAAAAAATCGTTGTGTCGCAGTGATCTGCTTCTTTTTCATGACAAGAGGATACAAATCCTAAAAGGTCTCCCTGGCTAGCCTGCGTGACCTGTGTGCACAGTCGGGGATTGTATAGCGCAAACAATGCAGACAAATCGTATGGCTTCTAATTTCACTTAATACTTGATATGATTAACGACATTAACTTTTTCATCCAATGATACGTAAACATGTCGCATTATTTATGACTTCATGGACCTTGTGGGTATAGTCAGCTTGGTTAACCTCCTTTGTACCAATGTTACCACCACTTTCGTGCCAGTCGCCAAACAATAGAGAGCGATCCAGAGGGTCAACTAAGTGATCAGTCAGATATTCCAGCAAATAATATGAGGTCAGTAAGATCGTTATAAATTGCGTAGTGTCGAAAGATAATCTATAAAGATGGTGTGGTCTAAAAATTGCTAATTGTCCTTCTCGTTTTGCATGCAGGAATATAGAATGTACTAGTATCCGTGTGTGCTTACCCTACGTAGCATTGTAGCCTGGGGGGGTGGTGGTGGTGAGGGGGGGGGGGGAACTTCCTGATAAGAGGCTAATGAAGATGTGCTGCTGGATGGGGTCGCATTTTCACGACTGGATTGACTATAATGGGGTCGCATTTTCAGAGAGTTTTTTTAGAATGGGGTCGCACATTTTCTGCTTTTTTGGGGTAAGACAGTTCTTCATATTTACGGTTAGCAAAGGTACCAGAATGTTTGTATTGTAGATGAAAAGTAAAGTGTTCTTCATTCAATCTAAAACAAGGTCAATTCGTAAAAATAGAAAGTGACGAAGTTGGGATCGAGAAATTAAATATTTGTTCACATGACTAAGATGGGGTCTATAATTGGCCACAGAATAGACTGTAATGGGGTAGGGGCTCTGAGAGGCCAGCGGCACATACCAACCAAATATTAACCCAAGTACCCCCACCCCGGGCATGGCAGTTTTACATGGTTTTGTCGGCAGCACTACTGTGAGCGGCGAAGCAGCTCCCGCCCCAATCTCCTCGCCCACGCCCGCCTTATTTCGACTTATTATTTAGCGCGCCTAACCAAAACCACCATGCTACGCAGGCTAGTGTGTACTGTGTGCCCTTCGAATCCAAAAGGCAGCCCGGGTCGTCGTTTTGAAACCCTCAACACAGAACCGAGTTAATTATGAATCTGAAACAACCTTATAAGAGTCAACTGTTTTCCATCCGTTTATGATCCAGGTCAGTAATATATAAAGTGATACTAGAAAACTCCTGCTGTATCATTTAGTAAACGTATACATGTAATAAACAAAGCTAAACGAGTGCGATGATCTTATGTCTATCGTACACTTGACATCGACGCACCTTGATTTGGAAACTCTGACATAAAAGTATTATTTCTATTTGAAACGAGGATTTGTAGTATTGACAACGTCAACTTTTTCCCATTTGTAACTGCGGTTTCGGTATTTGGCTAAATTTTGATGCGGTATTGCGGTATTCTCGCGCTACCACGTGCGGTATTGCGGTATTCGTACCCCCCTTACGCCCCCCTCTTATCGCGGCCCGTGCGATAACGCGCGACTACGCGCGACAATTCTCACTGACCTGAGAGTGTGCGGTCTGCGGCCGTTACCAGGCGATAAACTTGTGCCTTTGATATGCATGTTTTAAGGCACTGTCACGGAGGTTTTGTGGTCTTGTCTGGTCGTGGATGTCACGTAACGAAGAATAAATTTCATTTTATTGGTTCGTCGTGCTTGTAAGCGAAAGGTTTTTCCTTGTCTGTCAAGACTGTCGACCTATTTTCCTGAACTACTTTAAAATAGTTTCGCTTATTTAATGAAGCTTATCGAGGAACTGTTAAAAAGGTGTTTTCCCTTGTCATATCAAGAGCTCACGTGAAGAGAACCGGAACTTACGTTATTCTCCGGTTTGAGTTGTTTACGACTCCCATGCAAATATCGAAACCAATTTCTTAGTAATCATGGAAACCTGTTAGCAAGAACTTTAATATCAATATTCTAAGCAGTATACCAGGATTTCATCGGCCTCTAGAAGGGCGATCATGGGATTTCTCTTCGGAGTTCAGTATGGTTTAATCTGTTCCATTATGTTTTATTTGGGAAGATGCGAGCTAAATCCTTCGATACAGTGGACTCACTCAAATCCGTTGTAAGTAGTTTATGCGAAACAGTGAAAATTGAATTGCATGTACTTTTTGCCAAGTTTGATTGGGCTAATTAGCGATTGGAAAAAATACTTACTGATGAATCAGGCAAAACAAATCCATCCATCCTCAAAGATTGGCAGATACATAGGCTCATAGATTTTGTCAAGCACGTAATAACTGTACTGTATTTACAACTCTAGGAACCGAAACGGAAGTGCGTTATCTTTATGAGATCGTAATCTTTACGGGGTTCTGAGGGAAAGTGTAATGGCACAACGAGGTGCCTTTTTGACAAGATTCTTAGTCAGAAAATAACGGTATTCTACACCTTATTTTCTGAAATAATGCTTCACCGTGTAGAAGAGAGGTGGGAGAGAGTTTGAATATTTTATTTCTATATGAAAAATAATGTTGCGTAGTTGAAGAAGACCTCACACAGAGAATGGTGTGCGACAAACGCAGACTGCAGACTTGCAGACTGGCAGGTAAACAAGATAAACATTGTTGTGAAATGCTCTAACAGATTCTCTATCGCTAAACTTCAACTCTAGCTTAGGGATAGGGAATCTGTTTGAGTATTTCACTGACAACGATGTTTATCTCGTTTACCTGCTAGTCTGCAAGTCTGCAGTCTGCGTTTGTCGCACACTGCACAGTGAAAACGCGAACTGACAAACTCCTACTCGCCCATCAGCAGACATCGTTTTTTCTCATTTGGACAAACGAGAAGCAGAGTCTTAAGCCATCAATGATATTTCTGGAAAACAATATTTTATGAGCCAGAGCAAAGAACAAACGAGGGTAATTATCATGTTGTTTGTATGAATATTGAAATAGGTCTAGAATATAATAATTTTCTATATTCTCCTACCGGATGAGTTGTTGATCATGAAACGCCCAAATCAATATCTATTTATATAGAGATTACAATGTTATTTGGCTTTTGTTGACCTTGATTTCACTATAGAAGTGCCGTTCAAGCTTGTCAAGTTCAAGAGAGGTTTCAGTAGAGAGTCAGTAGACTTGGCAACGATTCAGCATTAAGATTGAGGGTAACATAGATTATGCTCATTAAAGCACTTTCTTTTCTGCTCTCTTTCTGCAATTTCCGTCTTTCGGAAGCGTTTTACCCACTGAACATATCACGCCTTTTTTTGATAATATATTGATAAGAGTTTCTCCGAGAAGTAGCTCAGTTTCAGGCAATTATCCCGAAAGCATTTATCACGTTATAACTTAATTTCTCCAATAATTTAGCTCTTAACGAATATATTGATTCAATACGATACTTTTCATCAGTCGATGTGTCTTATACACCAACCGGCGGCCGATGCAATTTCCCCCGACAAAGTAGTTATTAGGAGCTACGAAATACTGTTGCAGCCAGTGGTAATTTGTGCAGCAACATTTATCGGCCAAAAGACGGATTTAATACTCTTATTTCTAGATAGCAGGTTAAGATACCGATAATGGCTCAAGTCCGTACTCTTGTGAACGACAATTTCTCGAAAAGTAGTTGGAAACTCTTTGAGCTGAGTCTGTGAAGTGAAATAACTCGTGACCGGAAATCAGTTTCAAAATAGGCAATTTTGGTTTGCAAATTCGATGTGCGTTTTTTTTTTTGTTATTATTATTTTGTTTTCGATGCAGCACCTGTTCAGATGTCTGGCAGGTCGTAATCGGTCATTGTGTATTTTCATTGCATTTTGGGTGTCGTTCTGGTCTCTGTGTGTTATCTGGTACATTTTGCGTGCGTAGTTACATCGTCTGTTCGTATACTAGGTGTAAAAATATGCGCCGAAAGTCACAAGCATTAACAGGAACCTTAATTCAATCCTGACGTGGATTAGTCCTATTGTGTAAAAGCAACTTGCGTAAGACTTCCAGAATAAACAAGGTTTCACGCAATGCTACTCAGATCATACTCAATTAGGAACATGCATACAATGTTACTGGCAAAAATGTTTATAGTACTGTTTCGCCAGCAATAAATTATCATTATTATTATTAAATTATTATTATAATTTTCACTGCTTAAAGCCCTGAAAGTCCTTGTTGTTAAATAAGTGCTTCCAGAGCTATCGAGGAACATGAAACATGAAATATGCAAGATCTTTTTTTAGTTTTAACATGGTTATCCGAAAACGTTTTTTTTGCGGGACGAGTTCAAGAGGAAATAATGTCGCAAAATAATTTAGCGCCATATTTTGGTTTTATTATACTGAATGACTACCTTGCCAGCAGCAGAGGTTTCACAGCATTTACGAAGTGTTTCGTGTCGCTTGTCAGTCGCGTAGTTAGGGCGTAACGAACAAAAAACACTACGCGAGAACGATGTCGTAAGTGCTAAAAGCCACGCAAGAGAAAAACATGACAGCATTTCCCTTTAAATCTTAGAGGAGCGGAAAATGGTGAGGGCCTTTTCCCGCCCCTCCTAGATTCTAAGACAAAAAGAAAGCCTTGTGAAAATACACTCTTTTTTGATGCAAATTCGTTGAATAAAAATAATGAATATTGTTTTCTCAACCAATTTGTCCGCCATGTCACGTGGTTGGGGTCAATTAATTAGACTGTTCACAGTCCCTTATTGTTTCGTAAGATTGTCAGGATCGAGCGCTTACCGGTACGAGCGGCCATCTTGGTTTCATATGTACCGAGGGGCCGGTGAATTTGAAATTCAACCAAGATGGCCGCCCGCAACGTTAAGTCTTCGATCTTGGAGATCTTACAAAAAATAATAGGGGACTATAAACAGTCCTGAGCCAATGTATCCACTGGAATTACGAAAAGAAATAACTATTTGAGGCTTAAATTTCCCGCCAATTTGTTACTAAAAATAACTTGAGAATACTACTTGGAATAAAGCCTGTTTCTAGGATCCTCTAAACTCTATGGTATGCAGGGCGATTCATATCCGATCTGGCTCTGTTGGTAGTGGTGTGAACTAGAAACTGCTTTCTTCTAAGCCTGTCTGCGAAAACTAAGAATTAAGGAATGTGGGTTCTTCTTTTTAGGGACTAATAAGACGACCAAAGATCTATCCCTTTTTTGAATAAGAAAACACAAATAATTACCCTTGGTACCGGAGCTTTTTTCTCGCGTGTAATGAGGAGCTTTCTTGGGCCGAAGGCCAATACCGCCAGAAAAAGCCTCGGGCAACTTTTTAAGACTTAACCGAAACATGCAGGAAACCGCGCATGAAATGCCTCTGCACCCAGGGTAACAAATCATACGAGATCATGGTGAAGAAGATAAATATGAAAATAAAAATATTGAGAATTTTCTTAATTTTTTATCAAACACTTTTGGCCTCGTATTCCTTCGGAGCACGTGAATCTTAATTCCCGGATTTATTTAGCTTGCATACAAGCGTTTCCGCGCAAGTTCGTTGGGAAACTTAGAACGGGAGCTAAAAAGATGTATGAAGTAGAAGAGGCAAGTGTTTTCTCTTCCCTTCCCCCCTCCCGCCCCTCTTCTTTGAATTTTTGTTTTTGCTCTCGCTCTAACTTCCGCGCAATAGCTCGATCGGAAACGTTTTCTACGCAGACCAGGATTTATTGCTTATATTCTATTTTTCTTTCAGATTTACGATAAACAGAACACATTGCGTTAATCCGTTGTCCAGAGTATTCTTCATTTGTCCAAATACTGTTACCATCCTAACCAGACTAAAAACCAGTCAATCAAGTCCGCAATACGAGAATCTGTGGTTGGTTGGCAAACAAGGCTTTGAAGGTTGTGAGGTGAACAAATCGATCGACAAGAAGCTAATAGATTGCAATAATCCATTGAACTTGCTCTATTATGAAGTCATATTTAAGAGATACAGTGCAGTCATGAGTGCTCCAGTGTTTGAACCAGGAAGGGAGTACTATTTTATTGGTAAGATTACATAGTAAGTAACAATGGTGACCGCAATAACTCCCCGAATTAATTTTCATAATTTAATCAAAGTTTACGGTCATTGCCTTAGAAGTTTGTTGTTAGAGCCCTTAAGGTCGATTTTGGCGGGCTGTTGGAAATCGTTTTCGAAATTACGTACGTTTCTATAAGAAAAGAGAAATCGTTAATTAATGAGCAAAAGAGTTCTTAAAAGTAGTATGTGATGTTTTAGGGTGCTAAAAACCTTGCGGTAAACGTGAACCTCAAATCGCAAACCTGACGGCAAGGCACTGGTCAAGTGAAAATCTTCCATCTTTAAAGTCAGTTAAAATACTTGCTTGTTCGACCTCAGATATCCAGTGTAAAAGTTCCCACTTATAGGGAAAATAAAAAGTTGATTGCTGGCTTTTCTGCACTCGTGATGCCAGAGCTAGATAAGTCAATCTGGTTTTTGTCTGGTTTGCAATCAAGGTAATATAGCAAATTCTGATCATCCGCGCCTTGAGCTTACCCCCTATCCCCCTTTACGGTCCCTCCCATCAGCCTTGGAGACGAAGTTGGGTGGGGCTGACCAAGCTTTCTGGCCTGTTCCTTGTCCACTGCTTTCTAATTGGGGGCCAACTAAGTCCTCTATGCTATGTTTTTAGCGACTTCAGATGGTACAAGATCGTCCTTGGACAAAACTTCCGGAGGGCGTTGCAGCTCACATACGATGAAGCTTAAGTTCTATGTTTGTACAAACAATACAGGTTAGTACAGAACTTCCCGGAAACTAACGTGGCTGGCTTGGCGTCGTTTTTTATTTCTCAACAAGAATGAATGAGCTAAAGAATGAACGGTTGAAGGAATTCCCTGCTTTATAAACAGGTGCAAGCAAAAATGAAAGATACAAACTATATAACGCCGCTTTCTTAGTCAAAAATAATATACTAAAAGATAAAGCCACGATTAGGCAATAGACGTTTCCAAAGCTTTTTTCAAGTTTTAATAAAGGTCAGTAAGTGAATATCAATCGACACCGCTGGAAGGTTTGCGCGCCTTACAATAAGTAAATTTGGCAAGTTTAAAGGTGATACGTCTATTAAAGTGCGCGAAGCTGTTGCTGCTCCACAAAATCGCCAAATTTTACAGACGTTTGTATGGTGTGGGGGCGAGTTCGTGCTCCCCACCATACAAACGTTTGTAAAATTTCGCAGCTATGCTGATCGAGATCTTCCTTAGTTTTCAACAAATCCCTCTAAAAATGAGCCTCCTTACTGATTATTTTTTCCAGCTGTGTTAAAGGATTTTTGATAACTGGTCGTAGTAAAAAGATGAAAAAAAAAACCGTGGAAAGGTCTTTTGTTCTGTGATCGTTACCCCTCCACATACACATGTAGCTGCTTCGAGATTGGGCTATTTTTGATATCAACTGCGGAGGCACTGCAAAGGAGAGTCTCAGTATTGGATCCTATATGTGTAAATCTACTAACTTTTAAATTGAATTGTCTGCTTTCTGACTGCGCGCGACCATAGCTTAATTTGTTCTTTTCGCTATGAAGCAATCTCCTTCGGTTCCACTTTAGATCCACGGTGTCAAAGCGATGATCTGTGCAATGGTATAGTTCCTACACATGCTCCAACAACTGCTAGCACTGCGAAGCCAACAACGACATCGACACAAACCACTCCCGCTACCACTTACATGGTAAAAAACACTTCATCCACAGCGTACATAGTTCCAACCTCGCGGATAAAAACTACAGGTAACTGAAAAAACCTGATCGTTACTCGCACGAAATAATATTCAATGCTTAAATCCTCGAGCTCAGTAACCATTGTTTTGACGTGTTCTCTATGACGCTGGCTACTACTACTACCACTACCACTACCACTACCACCACCACCACCACTACTACTACTACCACTACTACTACTACTACTACTACTACTACTACTACTACCACTACCACTACCACTACCACTACCACTACCACTACCACTACCACTACCACTACCACTACCACTCCACCACTACCACCACCACCACCACCACCACCACCACCACCACCACCACCACTACTACTACTACCACTACTACTACTACTACTACTACTACTACTACTACTCCTCCTCCTCCTCCTCCTCCTCCTCCTCAAGTCACTTTCATTTGGTCGCTAAGGACAAAGTATAAGAAGATGAGGCAGTCGAAAAACGTTTCTATTTTCAAATACTGAAAAACGCAACATTCTTTTCAGTTGCAGCCAATCCCGGACAGGAAAGAGAGAGATCCTTCAAGGAGACTACGTACTTTATAGCCATTGGTGGTCTTGTGTTCCTGTGCGTTCTTCTTATCATCGTTTCTGTTTTTTCGTTCTATCGGTTAAATCGAAACAGCACGCGCAAGTCACGCTCACCGTCAGCTCAACTAGTTTAAAGTGTGTTCGGAAAATGTGATATCTTTACATATAAATGTAAATCAAACTTAAGGAGAATGGCCCTGGCATAGGTGTGGCGAGTTTTTATGGAAGGGTTCTGCTTTGGACAACCTGCTACTATCAAAGCCGACCAAAAGCTTTGCAGAAAGAGGTGTGAGTAACTAACCAACCGATTAAACAGGAGGTAAATCGTGTTGTAGTGGTGATGATTCTGCCACTGGTGCTGATGGTAACCAGAATTTGTATATTTTGCTTTTTACATACGTGCCAATTAATAAAGTACTATTAATATGCCATGCTTTATACATAAAGAGATAATTAAGATTTATTTATATTGATCTTGGGTGGGTTAGAAATCCACCCATTATAACCTTGCGACAGTTCATAATACACATGTAGATGCAATCGGTTTCTAAGATGTAGCAAAAAAGAAATCGGCGTTTTCGATTCCTTTTGTGGTTTTATAAACAGAGAATATACGTTGTTGTTAATATATAAATTTTTAAAATTCAAAAGATTGTAGCGGAGCACTATAGGTAAGAAAATGTGGTAAACTACCCATCCGAGAAAATTTGGTAATCACGTGACCGTACACCGACCGACCGCCCGACCGTCCGTCCGCAGCTCAGGCATACCAATGTAAAATAACTCAATCAACAGGCATGGCAACCCAAATGCAACTCGAGGTTATTTTGACGGGAAATCGCACTGCGACCTGCCTCTTGTAAAGCAGAAACAACTAAAGAGTCGATGAGGAGCAAAATGAGAAGTGAAATTGTCTCTGTATCCGTGTTTTCTAAAGTATTAAGCTTAGATTGTCATGTCCACAAATTTGGAATATAGAGCAAGAGAAACACAGAGAAAAAGAGAAAGTGGGCGGCAGGCCAGCGAAGCTCAACGAGAAAAAGGGCGACATAGATTTGGAGCAAGAGAGAAAAAACAAAGGAGACATTTTTTTGTTGGAAGAACAACACGAAAATTTTGTAACGGCGGTGACAAAATGAGAAATGCTAGCGGCCACCAATGCAGGATGAAAATGAGCGGCAGGGGAAAAATAGTGAACGAGAAAACGTACGACAATTCCTCCATAAAACGTGTAACTAAGAAGTTTCTGGAAGTTTTACGTTGTAGTCGTGCAAAACAACGGCAAAGAAATTACAAAAAAAGTGTGCTGTGCGTGCAAAGTTGCTTTATTCCTAATTAGACCTATTGATGTTTTTCACCGTTCTCCGGCGTTGCCTTCGCCGCTTAGCATTACAGGATTTTATATTTTGTTTGAACAAACTATAAATATTATCGAGAGCTTCGCTTTTAGCCCTGGCTAAATCTATATATTATTAAATGCAGTGTGCGCCTCCTGAATTCAGATCTAAGCTCAGATGAGGTTACAGTATTACACCATGTTTCAAACGAAAGTTGTAACTAATTATTCTGTAAAAGAAGGGTCAATAAAATCGCACTAGTACATAAAGATGTTGTCAGGGAGTGTTTTGTCTATTTTTGAAGTAGATTCAAGGCCACAGACTGACTTCCATTTGGCATGAGCAAGCGCACTCTCAAGGAGTGGCTGGCCTGTGCGTTCGCCAAATTTGATTCTTAGCGATTCCACAAACGGCATCTGCGCATTTCAAAGTTGCAATATGAATACAAAATTAGCTAGCCTTACTAACTACTTAAGACGAGTCATAAGCACCACCATTTCTTCCATTTTCAATTCCCACTCCGACAATTCGTCACTTGCACACCTCCCAGGATGCACCTCATTTGTCCCCCAAACTTTTCCATAAGCATATTGTTTTGAATTCCTCTTGGGACGGCTGCAATACCCAGGAGAAATAAAAAACAAAGGCTTTGCAAAATTTTAGGGGGTAAATAAAGTAATTTATGGGAGATGTGCAAGTGGCGAATCTAGTGACGATCAAATTTTCCAAGTCGGAACCAGAAGCGGAAGAATACACTACTCACAAGGCTAGGCTCTTTTCCACGCTTTTTAGATTGAGTATTGTGACTCCGACAAAGTTCTCGACACATTCATGAAGCAGCAGAGACGTGAGCGGAATCAGAACGTTGTTTCCACTAGATCGCAAAGCCCTACGCATGCGTACATAGCCTGCATGACGTCTCCCATGATTTCCTTTGTTGCACGCGGGACGCGGGAAAGTGACAAAGGAAATAGGAGACGTATGCACGCATGCGCAGGCTATATGCATATGATTACGATTCCAACTCCGAGTCAAATATATGGTTACCCTAACTAGTAGTAAATGCAAATTAGGGGAGTGCGTTCCATGGGGAGGGGGGAGGGTGGGGTGGTAGGTAGTGAGTGGTAGTGGGAAGGGGGTGCAAAACCTGATGGGCTTGTAGTATTGAGAAATCAAAATCAAACGCTTTTATCAATACGAATATCAGCAGCTTTCTTTATCAGTGTTATTGTTTATCCTCCCACTTAACAATTCGTTACTATTTCAGTTTTTCTCAAAAATGCAAGAGCGTACGCTGTACTTTTTTCATTTACTTCGCTTAACCTCTAAGTAAAGTACAGTGGAACCCCGCCTTACGACCACCCCGTTTATAAGACCACCTCGTTATTACGGCCATATTCTTTCAAACCAAACGTAAAAACCATTAAGTCATTTTCTTATATTGAAGACCCCGTTAATGCGACCACCTCGTTATTACGACCAGGATTTTATGGCCCGACGGTGGTCGCATTAACGGGGTTCCACTGTACATGTAAGTAACAACAGGTAAAACACTGACTATGATCCTCAGGATATTCCTTTGCGCTCGAGGATGATCAATAAAACTGGCTAAAAATTGGGATACAGAAAAATCGCCAACCTTTCCCCACTCTGTGAACGAGTGTCACAAAATAGATACCAGCTCCAGAGTGAGAAAAACTGAACACATGAGATCGAGGCAAAATCTGCCTGTCCGGTCCAAGGTGGTGTCCAAACTGTGAAATCCATGGCATACTGAACGATTACTAATTCATGTACGGTACACAAATAGTAAGCGTTCTCCTTCGTCGAACGTTTTATAAAATGTTGATTAAGCGTCCCATATTTTATGCCTGTTTATTCATAACGCGACCTTGAAATGTTTTACTGCGAAAGAAAAAGCCCTGGGGACCGCGAGACCAAAAAAAAGATAAAACTATTAAATAGCGGAGCGCGCAGCGGAGCACCATGGGTAAGAAAATTTGGTTATCCACGAGAAATTTTGGTAGTAAGGTGACTGTACGTCCACCCGCCCGTCTGTCCGCACCACACTTTTTTACATTGTGTGGAGCCTGCAACCTGTGTTTAACTTAATGATAGACGTCCATATCATGGTCGTCTTGGCCACTCAAACAACAACAAATTAAAGCCTTTTTCGCTACTAAATTTTTGTGTCTACGCTGACATGGATAAAAGAGAAAGAGCTAGAGCAAGAGATAAAAAAAAAAGCAAAGCGGAGACGAACTTCACAAAACATGAAAATTTTAAAGCGGTGGTGAAAAAATGATAAATTTTAGCGGCCAGTACGGGATGCCCGGCAGTGAAAAATAAAGCGAACAGGAACACAAACAACAAAATTTTTTTGAGAGAAAATGTTACATTTCCTCCATAAAACGTGTAACTACACTGTAGATAGTTCCACGTTGTAGTTATGCAACAACAACGGCAAAGAAATGTACAAAAAAGTGTGCTACACGTGCAAAGTTGTTTTTAATGCTAGTTAAGCTGTTTTTTGGTTTTCTTTTTGTTTCATTTTTGATGTTCTCGTTGCCTTCGCGTTAAGCATTACATGATTTTATTTTTGTGTGAGAAAATTCTAAGTATAGAAACGTGCACGTGAGCTTAGCTTTTAGCCCTGACTAAAGTATATTATAAATATGCATTCTATTACTTCACTACTATAGTGAAGATTTTTTCGATTTAGATTTTCTAAAAACTTCGTGTCTTCAGGAGGAACACAACCTTAGGCAATGAATTAAGAACAGAAACTAACTCCCAAAAATACTGCTATCGAGGCTTAGTTTGGTTTTTTATTAGCCATCGAACAAGCTCTTGGGGAGTGGAGGTGAGGCAGGGATTGATAACCCCAAGAAGAACCTCCAACAGAACCTGTGAGTATTGTTACTCGTCCCACCGTTTCTAACGGCCGCACTTTGCGGCACTTTTTGCACTTTACGATAATCGCGTCGCAAAATCTTTTTACTGTCTTATCAATTGCACTTTGTAACAATCCCATCTCTGATAATGTTCCCCACAATCAGTTGTTGGTAATGCCAAATCGTTACGCGATATCTTTCACGTTTTGGAGGTAGACACCAGTCGGTAAATATCCGTGTACATGGCACTGTTTAAAAATAGCCTGGTGGCAATATCAGTTACACTTTGTAGCATTAATTGAATGTCTTGAATCGGGCCATCGTTTAATCTCGTCGCCATATCAATCTCACCTGTCTTGATCTATGCTATCTTCTTTATTACAGTCAACAGTCTCCTTGTAAAGCCTCGCTATCACACAGACACAGCATCTACTTCTCCAGCAAAAATCATATTTCAGACGTTTAACTGAGTCCCGCTATTGCTGACTTGCGGTCACCTTCTTCGGTCCCGACACCACAATTTTATCGCTCCACTGTAGTTCTAATCGACATCCAGCAGCTCCAGCGGCATCTTTTAAGGTTAAGACAACTGAAATATATTTCCTCCGCCTTTTATGGCCAGGTTTTCTAATGAAGGTCTTCTCCCACCCCGCTGTTACTGACGTTAAGGATATGCGTACACTATACCCAATAGCTTTTAGTGTCGACACGAAAAGCTATCTGGTATTGAGTATGAACAGCAACGGTCAGGTACTAAAACAAGTCGTTCACAAACGTAAATCGTGCCGGGGCGATTGGCCGAAATTCACATTGCCCCAAAGTGCGCCACAGAGCCTATCCGATATGTGACGCTTCAGTTTCGAGATCGGCGCAGCACAGCTTTGCCCCGTTACAAAAGTCGCGCCGAAACCACCGTTCTTATGGAAACCCATCCAATACTGTGTGGTTTTCGTTCCGACACAAGAGTGTGAACATGACCTTATATAGTCACGGTCTCGAGGCTGGGGGTTTCTGAAATGACGGGAAATGACTGTAACATTCTTTCGCTGTCTATTTACCCTAGCACTAAGTAGCTCCTCAAGAGCCTCTCTTGAGTATCTGTAATGACTACCCTGCGTTGCAGCCGGCCCAGGTATCATCTAGATCACTGATGACGCTCCTGAAAGGCGGTTTAGAGTGTCTGCGACGCAGGCTAGTAATGACTAGCCCATTAGGGACGAGTTTGAGTACAGTACGTAATTATGATTGGTCGATGGCACCAGGAGCCCATGGGCTCCTGATGGCACTCAAGGCAACCATTAACCAATCATAAGAAACGCATGTCTAGCCAAACGATCCCACAAATCATTGCGCCGAGAGGTGGTACCCATTCCAAAGAGGTTCAGTTCTGAAGTGAAATACTTTAGTGGTGCTGGTAAAATCTTGACATTTTTGTTGGTTGTCCGAAGGATATAACTGTACTTCCGAGCGCTAAAACCGACTGTTTAAGGAAAAAGCATTAATACTGAAGAGTATTAATTTAAAAGAAAAAAATTTTATAAAAAGCCAGCCCAGAATTTCAAGTAAATCCAGTTTCAATGAAATGCATAGACAGTGCTTGTAAAAGCAAAAGTGGCCAGTAAGAGGAACTTTGCATCCTTTTCAAGAGAGAATGAGGTCTTTTTAAAGCCCGTTTTATGAAAATAAATGACGATTTGCATGTAAAGCGCATCGTAAAATTAATGCTATGGAATTACTCGAGCTGAACACCAAAGCATCTGATTTCCGTTTGAGACCCTTACAGCATTCTTTTGCACTAATTAAAGTACTTTTTCAGGTCTTGTTTAAAAATAGCATAAAGTAAAATATTTGTTCAGGAAAATGTAATTTTTTTGATAACTTCACTTTCTCTCTCGATGGAATCGGGTTGTAATTACCTTCTGCTGTTAATAACTTTGTGTTAAACCTAATCATAAAATCATTTGTCAACTCTTATGCGAAGCTGCCAGAACATCGCGTGACTCTGTTCAAGTTGCATGACGGCTTATCGATCAACAAATTTAGAGACTCTGTTAAAGCCACGCCGTCTTAATAAACTAATAGATATCACAGCAGGATTAAAGAGACATGCAGAGATAGACTCAAACATATTTATGAACTTTTCTTTTCTTTTACCCTTCGTTGCTTTAGAATAAAAGCTTGCCCTAACCTTTCAGACCGATGTAAGGAGCAGTTATTACGAAAAAGACCTACGTCTACTTTCTCGCACATTTTACTGCAAACAAGTTCAACTTTTATTAAATCTTATTCCCGCAAGTCTGATACACTTGTTTTGCTTGTTGGTCGAGAGCCTGTCAACGCTTAACCACAATGTTTTTAAATGTTAAACACTAAAACATTTGTTACCATTTTATAGAATTAGTATACTTCTTTACTCACAAAGAAATTAAAAGGAAGTATCAGTACTTTTACTACCTATCAGTAATCCTTACTCTGTTACTTATTTTATCCCAGAAAAAGTATTGTTCGGTCATAGCTCCTTTCTGTTTTGATCACTGAATAATATTTCTTATTCAGTTTCCGCAATTATTGAAAGACTGACAGATTTATTTGCTATTCTTTGTGGATAGTAATGCTGTTTTCAGCAGGGGGTCTGAAATGAAAATCAAAACATGTTGTCCGAGTATTCACCAAACGGGAAATAATTTGCAAGTCCCAGTGGCTAGAAAAAAGCTCATCTCGTATTTGTAAAGGTAACGGACGAAACGAGTCGCGTATTTGTGCTTTAGTATGATTTCGGAAAGTGTTATCCCATGTGATTGACATGGAGTGAAACAATAAAAAAGGGTGAGGGGAGGGGAGAGGACGATTTGAGAAAATTACAGTGGGGGAGGGCTGAAGAACAAAATCAATACGAACAGTTTTCAACGCCTCTCAATGAAGTTTTGAGTTTCAAGGGTTGAATTGTCAAGTGCAGTTGGCGTACAACCAGAAATCAAGACAAACACGGCGTGCGGAGAAGAGCAAATTTAAAACGGATTAACTTTACAAAGCACATTTGCAGTCGGGAAATTTTGATACGGATTGCTTTGGATTGTCAGGTGACAAGTTCGCGCCGTCATTGCTCGCGGGCACGTTCCAAAACAAGACGAAAGGGTTGTCAGCGACTGTCACGAGCCTTCAGCACGGGTACCATATTGGAGTGGCAAGAGTGGCAGTCTAATATTTCTCCATGAAAACACGGCTATTTGTGGCGAGAGGATTAGACGAATCAAAGCCTTTCCGGTATGCTACGGTTGTAGGGGAGGAAGCTGTGAAACATTCGTCTCTCCAACTGTTGTGAAACGGAATTGAATAGGGAAAACCCGTCGCGCGGTTTTTACGAGGCAGAGCTATCTCAATGCACATGGCTGGCGGCGCGGTCTTCAAGATGCGACATCTTCTACTGATTGTGGCGCAAGTTATCTTGTTTTTCCACGTCGTGGAGTGTGCTTTATATCATCCATCAATTTACTGGACTCCTCAGAATCCGCTGTAAGTCATCATTTTCAATCTATAGCTCATTTACATGGGTAATGGTTTAATAAGATTACGCAAATCAAAGCTTCGCGGGTATTTTCAGTCAGTTCTTTGACTGACTCTCCAGTATCTCGGACAATCCGTTTTCTCATACTTTTGAAACCTCTCTACTTAGATTCTTGCGGCTCTAAGCTATTAAATGACATCGCTTGATTGTATTCCCTATTGAAATCGCTAAATTTCCTATTGTCTTGCTTACTAATTATGTGTTTAGTGGAGCCTTTACAGTGAATACAAATCGCGCACTGTTATCAGTTCAATCGAGTTGGAGGAAAGTTGTTACTCCCTAAACTTATTCGCGGTTTTGTTACCTTTAATAATGTGTCACAAGTTACTGATAAGGATTTGTGGCCACAGCTATAAAGTGCAGTACGTTGTGGAGAACTACAGCCATGCATCGGTCTATTTGCTCGCTGAAGAGAGAAGACAGTTTCCTTTTCAACTAAAAAAGACAATATCGTGTAGCTTTGAACGCTCTCTTTCATTATGCATATTTGTGCAATGAAAAGCCTTTTTACTTGCGGAACAGCTTTTGGGTTATATTCGTTCGTTTCTCGCGTTTGTAGCTTTGTTTTGTTGCTTCATGTTGCGTTGTTTACATAGTCCTGTTGGGTTTGCTTCGAAAACCACTAGTGCAAAACAATGTCAGAAGTAAAACGAAGTCTGTGCGGAAACCTTTTATCTTTTATGACTTTTTGTATATTAGCTTGGCATGTTTAATAACCCAAGAACTGGTAGCTCTAGCAACTTCGTGTGTGTGGCCTAAGCAAGTAAAAATATCCGGCCACTGGAAAGCTACAAGAACAACAAGTTGTAATGAAAGACCACATTCCTAATAATGAATGTGTACACAACTAAAAGAAAGTACTTCAGAATTGGCCATTTGTATTGAATTTTCTGATAAATTTAATTAGAGAATGCCATAGGGATAAGCGTTGTTACCTTAGTTACACAGAGAATTTCCAAGCGAAAACTCTTTAGAAAACTAACCGTTTGTCGAAGGCGAAATGTGAGCTCTCGTTTTGCCACCAGATTTCTGCCGTTCGAGAGACGTTGGCGGTATTTCGTAACACTAGTGACAAAAGGATTTCTTTATTTGTCTATGTGTTTGCTTAATTTATACCCTTCCCTCAATATTCCGTAACCGCTTGAGTTGATTACTTCATTCGCGGTTGGCTCTTCCTGAGCTAACAACAGTAAATGACCCGTAAATTGTTTTGAGTGACCCAACGTAAATTAAGTTTTATCGAAAACAATACACCTTTCTGATAAGCTAAGATCCATGTAGCGTTGAATCAAGACAGTTTTGTGCCTTCAACCTGAGACAAAAGCGAAACGTATGACCCCGGTTCATGGCAATTTTGTGGGATAATCCTGTTTGCACAAAAATTAAGTAGGCCAACTCTTAGATTTTGAAATCCTTATTTTTTTTCGCGTCTGGGTTGATTCTGTCGTTTCTAAGAATAACATTTTGATAATTCGACGAAATGAGAGAAAGAAATCGGATGATGTGCAATGTAAATTTACAAAAACATATGAAAACAGTATGTGAAACTATTTTGACGTTTTAACCCAGCTCCTGGGGGCCAAAGTTAACCAATCTTGAAAGCAGCACTTGAAAAGCGCAGCCTTTGAAATGTTATAGCTGAAAAAAGTGCTTAAAATATTGAATATTCTATGTCACGAGCTTTTTTGATACCCTCTGATATAGATTTTTGTAATTAATTCTTAGAGACAGAGTGGGCCCTTTATTTGCCAAGTGATGAAATGATATCACCGCTCAGATATTAACAGCTTATTTTCGTTTGTGAGAGAGGAGATAACACAAGTCAGCCACTATAGACTGTCCAGTAGTACAACTTATACTTCATTTGCATTGGCAAGCGACTATTCGCGACGGATGCAGGACGGCTTGTGTTCTACTTGAGAGGAACTAATCAGCGTATAACACCTTTAGTGTTAATCGTTTCCTCTCCATTCTATTCGCGGTGTTATTTTGTTAATTGAATTCTCTTTGGCTTTTTTAGTACTTTGGTCCTTTTGGAGATTTAATTGTCGTCAGTTGGCAATTCAGGCGACTAGCGATATCTTTCATTTCATTTTCATTAGGGCGTTCTGAAATGAGTCCAATACCTTAGAAAAAGTTGATTGAGTTGTTGCCCAGGCCACCCTAGTCCATCATCACTGTCAAGAAAATTGCTTTCCGGAGATTTCAACTGGCTTGTCGGATTTGTCCTGGCTTGTGTCTGAAAAGGTGTTAGATGTGCTGTCCAAGATGAATAAGACGTGAGGTCATCTGGCACTAGCCTCTTGCATGCAAAGCTTAATCATAAAAATATCTTCACGAAACACGTTAATACGAAAAAGATAAAAATTGCAGTACATACAAACTAGATGAACTGAATGAAATGATATAGCTAGCCTGCTGAGCAAGCTAAAAGACGGTATGTTTCATTGCAATGTATTAAGACCTCCGGATTTAAGACCTCTGGGTGTTAAAATATTCGTCAGGGCAGGAATTACATGTCATTAGGTGTCTTTACGTTGTAAACGTGGTAGTTTTAATGAATTTCTGCTATAATCCTTTCATAAATTGCGTTACTGGCTTGTTTAATAGTTGCTGGAATGCGCAGGACCTGACATTGGCCTTTCGCTGTCTCTAACTTTGCCTGACTTTGCAGATTTCAAGCGAAAACAGCTATGTAGAGATTTGACAGATTTATTGCCCTAAACCAGTAATCATACTTATCATTTTTCGGTGTGATTTTGTTTAAAATGAAACCTGTACACTACTGCAACCACATCGCCTACAAATTTAAACGGCCTCAAAATTTGTTCTTAGTGGCGATTTCACTTAAGAAAAAAAAACTAGGTGAGCTTTTTTCCTATTTTATGAAAGACGAAACGAATACCATACATTTTTGCCACGATAAACTGTCATGCAATTGTGAGGTTAAGCTTTTATGAAAATAAAACATGCCATAGAAACTTGCGTGTACGCTCCAGCTACAGCTCTGAGATAAAATCAGAAAATCAGTATTTGAAGATAAGGAGAGGTGTTTATTAGCTGTTCAAGGACATATCCATCGTTTGTCAATTAACGTGTGTGTCCCAATTTCCACGTTGTATTCAAACTGTAGGCTAATAAATACTATTTTTGGAACGTACGGAAAAGCCATCTGTTGTAAATCAGGTGTCTGAATAATTTCACAAATCTTTCATTGATCCGGCCCCATGCATTGTGAGAAATTCCAAAAAATTTAAATATGATTATTTTGTCTGGAACGGTTGAGTCTTCAGTTTAACCACATGTTCAGGATAAAAAGTGAAATACCAAGAGTTAACAATATCGTTACGTTATAGCACAGTTGTAGAAGTTCTTTTTTAGTTATCTGATGTTTTTGCTATATTTCTTCAATACTCGTAAGCAGAACATACTTACATTTTCTACATAAAGTAATATCAGGACATGAAGAAAAACATACTTACGCTTTCATGAAGTAATATCATCAAGATAGTAAAATCCAATAAAGTTTGTTTTTATTACAAAGGAATATCTTATTAATATTCGACTAGCGGCAAATCACAAATTATAGAAGGTGCTGTGTTGACTGACTTTTTTATGATTCCGAAGGCGATAATGTTAAAAGAAAAATATTGGAGATCCGCTCTTTTCTTTTTCTGGAAGCTGAAAAGTAATATTTGTATAAGAACCACACAATTCCTTCCTTATTTAAATGCGTCTATTCCGGTAGAAGCTTCCAGCAGAAGTTGATTCGCGATTGTTTGGACATGAAATTCAAACGTAGGTAAGTCCAGCGTCATAGGCAATAAAAAGGACCCCGAAAATCATTGATATATAACAGTGAAGTCATTTGAAACATTGGAACTTCACAACTTTTTGCTTACGTCTTTAAATCATTAAGAGACGCAAAAGATAATTCAATTTTATTGAGACTGATTTTCTGCAGTTTCCTCCTTTTATGCGCGGCGACAAGTGCTTTTTTAATTTGCCTCACAGACTGCAGAAGCCATTCTTTGTTACATGACAGTTCTCAAAGCTACAAGCTGGGTGTAAATTAACTTGTCACAATGTCAGTAGCGTTTTGGCATATTTCAAACGAAAAACATTGCTTTCAGTAATTTCCCTATCAAGAAGGTCCATTTAAATTCCTTCAGAAAAACAACAAGACCGCCATACGGAAGTAGTTTGCATAGTTAACAACTTCAATCACGCCCCAAACTCCATGCGTGAGTTTGAAAACGTACCCCCAGGACTGTTGTTTCGACGCGTTCGAACTCATGCGGAGTTAGACAAATCGTCAACGAAACGATACAGTAATTAATACACACCTACATAGTTTTGTCTGTAAATTTGTAAAAAACACTCTCGAAGACTGGCACATATGGTTTAATAGTCAGTTTAACGAACGGGGATTTGATATTGCAGACGGAAAAAAACTAAGGAGAACACTGATGCTGCCTCTTCTTACCTCACGTGATAGCCGAGGTTTTCAACCATAAGCATCCACATTACTGGAAGATATTCTCAGCCATACTTTTTATCGAGTCATATCACCCGGGGCCTTTATTTTGCACAAACTTCGACAGGCTTAATAACTTGTCGACATAAGTATAGAGTGCATCAAAGTTTCTCTAATCTTGATTAATTCTGCAATACAAATTTCATTAAATCTGTTTATGGACCAAACATGCATGGAATTGTTCAATGATGTTTTGCGTGGTATTTTTTCACCGCAAACATAGCAATCCGACGCGTAAATAAAAAGGTAAAAAAAGGTGGAGTTGTGTCTACATATGTTAACAACTAAGCGACGTCTAAAAAAGCCCGCAACGGACATTTAATCTATTGCGCCCTTTCTAGGCCTAGAGCGATGAAGATTCAGGACCAGTTTAGCCTGCAGTGTTTAGCAAAATCGCTTCTTCTAAGCCATTGCAGTTTGCCGAACGCTGAATGTAAAGGCCATTTATAGTGAACAGTTTCATGAAAGCATATGGCTTAGTCTAGAAAAGCATCTGTTTTCTTAAAATGACCCAGTAACGATGAAATCTGGAGGTCCAAAGATTTTCTAAACCGTAAATAACCGACCCTCACTGTCTTCGTAGACTATCTTTTTTAATTGAGCCATTGGAAAGTCTTTTTTTTTACTGTTTCTCAGATAGAGGCGGGAGTGAGGAGAAGTGATATTGACAATTAGAAAGAGAGGGTTTTCGCTTAACACGGATGTTCTGTGCTTGGAGTATTTGCTTTAACGGAGATTTTTTATACCACACATATTCAAGACGGTATAAAATTAATCCATGTCCCCACTAGAAAAACCGAATCGGAAATGGGGAGCTTTCGTGGCCATATGGGCTTCGTCAAAGACCCTTTTAGCCTCTGTTAATTCACACAAGCCTTCAAAAAGTCTTTGTCTGGTACCACTATTTTCTTTTTTGTCAGACTTGTATGGTTTATTTATTTGATTACAGTACTTCCGTGAGCGCCATATTTTTTTTTTTTAGTGCCGCACTAATTTGACAATGGCAGAATTCATTACGTTCGAAAAAGTTAAGTCAGGTGTAAAGTGAAAAAATTAAAGTTATTTTTGTATTGTTATTATGTTCACTTTCTAGCTTTTCCTTACTTTTTTTGGCAGGAATTATTCTCGCTTTCTCCAATGCTTTAACCCTGTCCCTTCGACCTTGAGACAAGTTACCTAACGCTTGTCTATTATTGTCGAAAATCGCGTGCTCAAAGCGGTGCGTGCATGCCTGGTCGGTTGATGTTTTCGTCGGCTTTGGTTAAGAGTTATTTCCACTCGTTTCCGAAAGTACTTGAGATTTCTTCGTCGTATTGTTAGGTTTTCCAGTAATATTGTTAGTCAAAGCTTCGCCCGTGCCAGTTCTTTGTTCATGTCAGATTTCCTGTTTATTACAAAGTGGCAGAGGACCGACAAGAGATCTTCTTTGTAGAGATTTTAATGTTTTGTTCCAGACTGAAGTTGGGATCACGTCAAACTAAAAATTAAAATACAGATATGATACCAAGCGTAGTCTATCTTTATGAGAAAAGTGTTTTGTCTGTCTTAATTTAATTTGCCCATTTCTTAAGTCTGTAAATATGTCTAAAATTGTTTGGCTGCGTACTGACGTGACCTGTAGAAACGCTTCACACTTTAAAAAAGCCCTTGACCTAGACCTAAGTCCCTGCGCACTTTGGGTTCTTGTGTGACGAGCGAGGCATGTCATTACACTGCTGAATTATTTTGACGCAAATTTCAGGCTTCGTTCACAGGGCACTGGACGGATTTTCTATCGGCTGAAAAATTTGACGAGTTGCTTGGTTCACACTGAACTGTTCATTATTTTCATATTTTCGAGCAGGTTGAATTTTAACTTTTGTTAGAGGTTTTGCTATCAGCCCATGCGCAGAGCGCTACTTATTTACGCCTGCTGTAGAAAAATTAAGAAGGTCATGGTGTTCGCGCATTGCTTCGGTCAAATTTTCGACTGTACCGGCTTAAAATATGTCCTCAATTTTGGCTTTCAAATTTCGTACGCTTAAGGTGATTCCGTGTCTGAACTGAACACCTGCACCCTGTCGGAATTATAATTTGTCCGGTGTGCCGTGTGAACATAGCTTCACTGTATATTGCTAGACTAAATCATAGCAATTAGTCGAACACTGAAAGGAAAGCAATTTTTTCGCTGACAAGCTGATTAAATAACTTCGGTTTGAAAGCCAATTTATTTTAATTATATCGTAAAACTCCGAAAATAAGCCCCTCCAAATAAAAGCCCCCCAAACTCGTAACGCAAAAAAACCTACGTTAAATCGCCCCTTCCAATATAAGCCCCCGTGGGCTTGCACTTGGAAACTGCCCTCAAATACAAAGTAATAAAACAAAGCAAAATCGGTACGGTAACATATAAATTTTTGTATTTGCCTAAGAACTCACTATTAAGTGTACCAAATGATTACCCTCCGTACATAAGCCCCTCCGAAAGCCCTGGGACTTACTTTCGGAATTTTGCGATATGTCATTTATGTCACTCTCGCTCTGTGACAAGCAGAAGTCAATTGCTGATGTTATTCAATTTTTTCCCCTTTCAGTTTTGATCGAAATGACAGCGTTCTCTACGTACTTCCTTTGTCCAGAGTTCAGGTTGTGTGCCCAAATCCATCAACTATTTTGAAGAAATTGAAAGTAGATAGCACAGAAAAGGAATACCAGAACCTATGGATCGTCTCACGCGAAAGCTATGAACGCTGTAGCACTGACAAGAGCCAAGGGAGTAAACTGCTTTTGCGATGCGACACTCCCTTGTCACTGAAGTACCTCACATTATTGTTTCAGAGATATAGTGCTGTTTACGATTTTGGCTACATTCCTGGGCAAGAGTATTACTTCATTGGTATGTTGATTTAGTCCATAGTTCTTGATACGTGCCGTCGCGTAGTACACAGTTTACGCTACCGTAAATCAGGCAACAAATACGTGCAACTTGATTTGAAGCATTGCTACGAAAGTAGTTGGAAAACGATATTGCGTGTTTTGCCACCCACATTCAAACCTGTCTTGCATGAACAAATCGGGTTGCTGCAAGTTGCGTGAATACTCACTTCTGATTGGATAAAAGTACGCGGGAATCACGCCAGGCCGGGACTTACGTCACTTGTTGCAAAACAAGTTTGCCTTGGGCGGGTAGAATGCGCAACGTGTAAACATTTTGATGCAAAAAGTAGAACTACTCTCTACTTTCTGCAAAAATTTTTCGCAACCTGCAACAACCTGATTTGTTGCAAGACAGGTTTGAACTTGGGTGCAAAAATGACGAGCAACATCGCTTTTCTTCTCTTTACATGTATTTGCGGCCCGTTTGACCGTACCTTAAAATGTTAGCTGTCTCTTCGCCCCACCCCACACCCCAACGACATCTTGTGTCCTCTCACCAGTGCGTTCTATTTGATTATTGATAAATAGAGAGCTTTAGATTTGAGGACGAGAACGAGTACGAGATTTCCTTAAAGTTTTTGTGCGTGTTCTAAAAAAACGACACTCCGGAAAGCTTCATTCTACTTTTTTTCAGCAAAAACGTTAGTCAGTATGGTTATTTATACTGAAGGAGGTTAAGCCCTCTCCCGATGGCAAAATCATAAAACTTCTTACATTTGATAACTTGTTCCCGCCACTACGACATTCTCGCTAAAACTCGTAGTAGAATGACGACGGCTATCACGTTTTCCCGCCAAAATGACGCTGATTCACGCTTGAGCTATATTCAGTATTGAGAAAATCTCGTACTCGTAGTCGTCCTCCTCTCAGAATCTAAAGCTCTCTAATGAGATTCAAGTGCTGTCATTGCCTAGTAACTAGTCCTGATTATTACGCGCGGCTTATGCGTTTCGGGTCACGTGGTCCGAGCGATTCGCTGGGTCACGTATACGTCATCCGAATGCATTGTCCTAGACGGTCCAGGAAGACGACGTACAGAGACTAGGCAACGCTGTATCATTCAAACAACCTTTTGCAATGAGCGATGCGGAAAATGTGAATGCAATCTCTCCTTTGGTTTTTTGCCTGGAATGAAAGGTTTGTTATTATGTGATGTATGTTATGTGAAGTTGCCTTTTTGTGTAAGATTGCTTAAACTGATTTTAATCTGATGAAATTTCAGCGACTTCGGATGGTTCTCAAGAATCACTTGATAGACCCTCAGGAGGAAATTGCCAACATAGGAATATGAAACTACGAATATTTGTGTGTCTCAACAAGAAAGGTTAGAAATACTTCAAAATGTATGACAATGTAGGCATCCTTGGAAGCTAAGTAAAATGTCTTAATAGCGATTCAGTAAACTTAGTGAACATTCGTATTTCCGGTTTTTGATTGCGAATCAAATTGGACTAAAGTAGGCTTCAATTTTCAAGAAAATAACAGCCCTTCGTGGGGTGATTTGTCGGGCTTGTGTCTTTCCTAACTTTAGTAATATCCGCCGTTGATCGAATAACTCTTCCGTCTTTCGTGGAAAAGTCATTCACGATTAAAGAGAAGTCTAGAATCACGTGCACCTTTACGGCAAATGGCCAACGTGTTCGCTGCTTTTTGTTAACTATTCATAGTATTTGCACAGTAAATCAGGTTTCGATAGGTTCATACACAAATGTCATTTTGCACATTTTCTTTATTTTGTTTACTTCCTATTTGAGAAAGTGTCCACACCGTAATTTTTAGGGAGTTATTATAACTCCAAAAATGGAGTAAAAATTTTAGGTACAGGATAACCCCTTTTTTGGGGTTATTTTAACTCCTAATTTAACTCCGAATTTGGGGTCATTTTTACTCCTGAAAAAGAGTTCTTTTTACTCCCAGTCTTGGGAGTTAAAATTACTCCGAAATGGGGTTACTTGCACTCCTTACAGGGGTTGTTTTTACTCTTTTTGGAGTTAATTTAACTCTGAAAGTGGAGTAAAAATTTTAGGTACAGGATAACTCCTTTTTTGGGGTTATTTTAACTCCTCAATATCTGGGGTCACTTTTACTCCTGAAAAAGAGTTCTTTAAACTCCTTTTTGGAGTTAAAATAACTCCACGAAAATAACTCCACTGTAAGGAGTTAAATTAGCCCCACTAGAGGAGTTATTATAACTCCCTGAAAATTACAGTGCATGTAAGTCTAACTTCTGCCGCTTGTTGTCAGCGTAAATAACAATTATTGGACGAGGTTGAGCGAAATATCGTGTTTTGTCATTGGGGAGCAGATCAATTATTTGCCGAAGCCGAATGTGGTGGATGAGACAAGAGGACAACAGGACGTGCCCTCTTTACACATTAACATGCTGGGACGTCAGCATACAGGTCGCCAGTAGCTCTCTTCTCTCTTGCTTTAAAAAGCCGTCGACGGTCGTTAGATTAGTTGTTCTAGGTATGACTTAATGATAATAAACTGTTAACATTTATGGTAGTAATTAGTTAATTCTCTGAGTTGTTTGTTGTTTTCCTCAAGATCCCCGTTGCAATCCGCAAACAACAACGACAGCAACAACAGCAACAACAACAACAACAGCAGCAACAACAATAACAACAACAACACCAGGCGTCACAAATGCAACGTCAGCAAAGGCAACAACAAAAGTTATAAGTACTGACACAGATATTCAAGCTGCGATCCTATCTACAAATCCGGGATCCACCACTGTTCTTAACACAAATTCAACTTCACTCGTACCTATCGCGGAGGTCGGTAGGCCATCAAGTTTACCAACAAGACAATTTAGTTCAAGCGCCATTTCTTCTTCATTTTCTTCGACGTCTACAAAAACAGTGACGCAACCAGTTCTGGTACGTGCTAGTTCAGGCGATCAAGGCACATCTGGACATAAGCGTGTGCTAGGTGCAGGTAAAGCCGATTCGGGTTATTTTCCTTTCCACCGTAGAGTTATTCTCCCTTGGGGCCACAATGAAAATGACTGGGTCCACCCTCTCGTATTTGTATTGCCAAGTACAGTCGAACCCCGCTTTACAGACACTCGCTTAATACGGACACCTCGTTATTAGGGACACTTTTATTTGTCCCTGGGGAAAAAAAGCCCTTACATTTTCTCTAAATCCCGCCAACCCCCTTAATGCGGACACCCATTAATGCGGACAACGGACACTTGTTTCTTGGCCAGTCAACAGATTTTCATAGAAAGTCAACCTTTCTAATGCGGACACTTCATTATCAAATCCTTTGCTGTAACAGGTCTTTCCTTTCTGAAGGAAAAAAGTCCCTATCTGTTTACAGCATTTCGATGTTCCCAGCGCTACAGTACACCGGATAGAGCGATTTTTAGTCGTCAATTTCTGGCTATTTTGGCATCCTTCAAGTTATGCAGAGAACGGTTTTCATTAAGAAATATATAGATGAGCGATTTTTGAGTGTTTCTGTGGATTTAGTGCGCGGAATAACGGCTTTGTGAAGGTTAGAGATGTTACATTTGACTATTGTAATATCCTCTTTTATTCCCTTTATAGTATTTTGTACTAATAAAAGGTGTCTTTTCGACTTTAATAACATGACTCGCTTAATACCGACACCCCGTTAATATGTCTGTATTTACAGGGTTTGACTGTGGGGGTGCTGTCCTTGGTGGTAATATGAAGAGGTTGGTGGCCATATCAATATTAGACTACGAGTAGTCCCCTATTTTTCCTCAGGGATTGAAGAGCGAGCGAAACACGAGCGCGCGTGAAAATCACCCCACGCGAAAAAAGGGCTTTTTCTCACGTGGGGTGATTTTCACGCGCGCTCGCGTTTTGCTCGCTCTACTCTCCCTGAGGAAAAATGGGGGACTACTAGCAGTCTATATCAATATGCACCTACAATATTGCTGTTATCGGTTTGCTTTTCATTAATGTCCTCGCACCCAACTTTGAAGCAGAAAGGGCTCGGAGATGAAGAAAGTTTCAACAATTGCGACCTAGATTGTGGTACAATTTGAAGGGTTTGGCTGATTATTTTTTTTTTTTGTATGTGCGGTAAACTTCTATAAAATGCTTTCCTCAATTAAAACATCTCTTTTTAATTCCATGTCTTTTTAATATTTCCACAGTTTCAGAGATGAACTGGATCATTATTGTTCCTTTAATGGCCTGTCTTCTCCTATCTCTTATTGGAAACATCATCTTGGTTTGTCGCTTGAGAGTTCGACAAAACGAGTACTGTGTAACCGAAAAATGCAATGCAATAGTGGAAGCGGCGCCTGTTAAACATTTAGAATCTCCAAAAATACAAACCAGAGTGGAAAAAGCTCTACTGTTATTTAGAAGATCCGCGGATGTTTCTGAGGTTTAACGCCTCCAAAGGTTGGTCGAATATCGCTGGAACCGATGAAGAGGCAAAAAGGCCCAGCTCTGTGGTACCCGCCGTTACGCGAAGCAAGGGAAGAACGAAACCCCGTCATGAGAAAAAAGCATATGGCAATCGTTGGTATATAAACAGAGAGGGAGTAGTGGGACATGATTTTCTCTTGAGGGTAAAGGCGTAATTGTTGCCTGGTTATGGACGCCGCAGAAACGCAGCTCGCTGGCGAAAAACCGTAAATTGACAGTTCAATCAAACGTCTCTGTATGGAATATTTTTTGACCTTCCGTACCCGGAGAAAAAGTTGTTTTATGATCTAAAAGCATGCGATGTCAAGAGAAAGAATTTGTTCTAATTAGAAAGATTATTTCAAAATTGCGACTGAAGGCCTATCAGGACAGAGATAATTTGTGGTTATTTTAAAACTGTTTTATCTTGGTTCGTTATTCTGATTTTATTGCCAGAGCTAGTTTGGCTGGTAGTGAGCAGATTCGAAAATGGTTTTAGAGCGGAGAAAGTTCACTATCGTTTTCAGTAAAGAAGAACGCATCGTTGGTCTGCTTTGTTTCCAGGCAAACAGAATGAACAGGAACTAGCTATCTGGTAATAGAAGGTATTAGGTTTTTCAAGCAATATATTTATTTATTGTTTTTATCTCCGTGATTATTCTTCATTCCAAACTAGACTCATTCATTAAGTTAGTGCGCCCCAAATTCTAGTTTGTTCGCGAGTTCGTATTGTTTCACCATTTGGAATTGAAAATTGGTTTGCATTAATGATCCTGAAACTTGCAAGACGCTTTTGATTTAGTTATACTGTATATTATAAAATAAGATACGTTATAATAGTTGTTTATGTACGTAGCTCTATTTATTGAAGAGGGAATATTTTGAATTTTTACAGAGTTGTATTCGACACGTTCATTTATTTGCAAGTAAAAGAATGTTTAATAATGATTTGATATGTTTTCTGATGCATCCTCCTTTGCAGACCTAGTTTGTTAGGGCCTGTTTACATGGAGGTGAGAGACCCCAGATAGGTGAAGTAACATGCGGCGGGTCACCCCACCTGTCATGTAAACGTAAACAAATCAAAATGAGAGATTATGTGGACAGGCGAGTTACTCACCAAAGCGGGTTACCTCACCTACCTGGGGTCCTCCACCTCCATGTAAACAGGCTCTTAAAGGGGTTTTGGTATGGGGAGTGGCGCGAAATGCCCACGTTCGATAAATTTTTAAAAACTCTAACATGATTCCGAGGCTTTTGGTCATTTTTCTATATTTGGTTTGAGTTTCTTTGTGCTCAAGTCTCTTCTGGGAAATGCGAGACAATGGAGTCGTGAAAAATTTGCAATTGTGTCCCTAAAGCCTCGGAGTCACGTCAGAATTTTACTACATCACAGCCCGGTTCCTTTAAAGATGATGAAGTTTAACACAGGATTAAGCCAAATTTTGAGCAAAGTGTTCATGTCTAAGAACATGTAGACTACGAGTAGTCCCCCATTTTTCCTCAGGGATAGTAGAGCGCCTTTTCTCGCGTGGGGTGATTTTCACGCGCGCTCGCGTTTCGCTCGCTCTACTATCCCTGAGGAAAAATGGGGGACTACTCGAAGTCTAAAGAACATGCAACTCGAGCTAGCAAAATACTGTTCAGCCTTTACTCCGAGATACAATAATGATTAACACAAAATGCTGCTCCAAGCAACGTATAGGAAGGTAAAATACAAAAACGTAACAAAATTTTAATCCTGGATTATCGCTAATGGGCCTTTCAGGAACGGGGCCTACCTGTATATCGAACGTGGGCTATTGGGGAGTGGACCACGGATTATTTAGCCTGAGAAAACAGCCGACATTTGGCTACGCTACCACTGGTTTTCCCGCCAAATGACATCTGAGAAACGAGCGCAGAAAATCCATACTGATGACGCGTCACTACCCAGATCTGGGTAGTGCTTCTGATTAGTCATGCCGCGTGGGAAATTTGATTCAACCAATCAGAAGCACTACCCAGTTCTGGTTATTTGACGGGTCATCAGTATGGAATTTCTGCGCTCGTTCTCAGTAGCCTGCGTGGCGGGCGTTAAAAGGGGAAGGGGGAATTTGGGCGCGCGAGGGAGAAAGAAAAGGAACGCCTGCAAAGACGACATTGTTTTCTCGTTTCTCTCGCCTGCGTGGTAGGCGTTAAAAGGTCTCGCGCCCTAATTCCCTTCCCCTTCCCCTTCCCCTCCCCTTCCCTTTCCCTTTCGAACGCCTGCCACCCAGGCTAGCTTCTCAGACGTCAATTGGCGGGGAAATGCTTGCGTAGCCAAAAGTCGGCTGTTTTCTCAGGCTACCGATTATTTTTATTTATTTATTTTTCTGCTGCGTTCACTTCACCTTCTCTACTACCTGAAGGCCTTGAATGGTCTATGTCTCGGAGTAGTGAAACGTTATAAATCGGTATCGATTTATCGTTGATTAAATCGATAAAATCGGTGAATGTGATTTGTTTTTAGCTATAGTGATTTTTATCGATTGACTACTCCGGGTCTATGTGCAGCCCTTACTTGTTTAGTCACGCGCGAAGAAACATTGCATGAATATCCGAATGAGCGTTCATTCTAGTTTTGCCACAGGGCCCCACAAGTATCGCAAAGGTGCCTGCGATGACGTAGTCGCAACTGGCAACGTTTCGCGTGAGAAGAGGCGTGAATGTGAAAGGATTTAAATAAAATAGGCTAACCTTACTCAAGCTTCGTGTGAATTTCAACCCTTCACATCCGCAGATTACAGAAACAATCGGGTTGTTTTCCTCATGCAAATCCCTATATTTCGAACATTACGCAACGCAAATGGTCACATTGTCGAGCTTGGGTGGCCTGTGATAAAATTGTGCACCAGGCAGGGACCTGGAGCTGAGCAATTTGGAAACGAGGCCGGAAGGAAGTATGGCGGACAGGTTAAGTCAGAAAACCGATGTAGTATATTTTTCCGTTTATTCGCCGTAAAACTAAACGTAATGTCGCAGACTGAATATTATCCATATATTTTTGAACTTGTAAACAGCTACACTCACCACAAAATACTACAAAGCCGATTTTCGCACAGCCTTCAGAAATATATTGATGGAGAAGCTAGCTGCCCTGCACAATTTGCCTCGTCAGTAATCAAGTTCCTAGGGGAGGATCTAGCCGCAGAATGTGGTCAAAAAATCAAAGCGATCCTCAGCACAGCTGCTGCTGATCGTATCATTGCGGAACATGCTAATTTATTTTCTAATAATACGTATGGCATGAACTTTCGGGTCTCGACTCCTGAAAGGCTTCCGCTCTTAGTCAATGACATGGGAGAGGTAATCTTCAAGGAAAAGCAAGATGTCGGAAGAGTGGCAGCATTCTTGGCCTTTGGCGCCACATTTGGCGCCTACTGTGAGCAGCAGCAAGGCTTAGGCAAGATGGCAGTGGAGAAAATTGTGGATTCAGTCGTCAAATATATGGATTGTAATCTTAAATCCTGGTTGAAAAGAAATGGAGGCCTGGTAAGCCGAGGCAATTTTAAACAACCGATTAAGTAAAGTTATTCTTATAATTAAAAGAGATGAGATGGTGAAAGAAATGCACATACCTTATGAGGCCTTCTTAGGAGGGGCTACATGTGTCCCCCAAGTGTGAGTTTCAAAAGCAGGAGGTTTTACCGCCGCCTGGTTGGCTCAATTGGAGAGCGCTGGTCTGCTGAGCGGGACGTCGCAGGTTCAAACGCCAGCCAGACCAACACTCAGGGTCTTTAAATAACTGAGAAGAAAGTGCTGCCTTTGTAATGACATCTGCAAATGGTTAGACTTTCTAGTCTTCTCAGATAAGGATGAAAAACCGTAGGTCCCATCTCACAGCACTTACACTTAGCTGGTTCTTTTGGGACATAAAAGAAGGCACACCACTCTTTGAAAAGAGTAGGGGATGTAGACCCCGGTGTTGTGGTCAACCTACACAAATCACATTATTCACATCATGGGCTGGGTGGGTACAGTAAGCTCATAAATGGACCGAGAGTGGCTGCCAGTGGCACCTCTGTTCACATGTTAAAATATATTGTAAGAGGGCACGTCTGTTGTCCTCTCATTCGTGACTCTCCATTTATTCTCTTCCTTATTGAATAGGAGGTCATGTCACTGTTGGTTTTTAACTATTGTATTTGTGATTTTCCTCGTCACTGTTGCAGTTTCAACACACCTTCATGTTATTCGTTGCCATTTCATCGGTCGTATGTTGCTGTCTCAAGGCCTCGTCACTTGTCGGAATTTTTACCCTAACAGGGCCACTATTATCAGTCAGAGGAAATTTATCAGATATACCATTTATCCACATGAATGTTGATAGTGATTTAGAGAAACAGAGGGAAGCAAATAACAGTATAAAAAGTACCTGTTTAATGTTGATACAAATGCCGTACCTAGACAATCTGCCCCTGGTTGTTCAAAGGCTATATAGTGCTGTCCTCCAGATAAATAGCTACTCGGTGGCCTCTATAGATCTTTATCAGATATTGATATCCTGGGAGCATTTGTAAGGGGTTCTTGCATGACAAGTTAAATTTTTAGGTTTTACCATTTTCCAAACGTGGTAATTTTTAATGTGGTCGACCTAAGCAGTTGAAAAAGTATATATACCCAAAACAATTGAAGCTTCAACAGCATTGAAACCCTGACTTTTTTATGACTGGAGGCAATTCTCTATCCAGTTGAGCTTATGAGATGTCCACGATTGTGCATTCATGATATCCTCGAAGGTGGGGATGTGTATGTTCTGTTTTAAAATGTAAATGAGAGATATCTTATGAGCTTAATTGAAAGTTGCAACTTGTGCAGATTATCACTAATTTCGAGTATTAATAACACTGCAATTAATTACCAATTAATGAATGAGTCTGAGTATCTTATGAAGAATAATAGAGATTGAGGAGGGTGTTATCGGATAACACCCTATAAGATCTCCATAAGTCTTTATATGATACGAAAGCCCAATTCAGTGCTAGTTTTATTATTCATTCAAAATAATTCCTAGTTTAAAAACATAGTTAAAATATGCTTACCTCCATTGATGTTAAGTTCATCTTCTATAGTGCACGTTTAGGGTTGTTCAGCTCTGCAAATATTTTTCAAATAGCAGATGTCACTCTTCGAGTTGTCTTCTTGCTGTTCTTGTTATGTTTTTAGTTATTTCGCCTAGTCCTTACTCTTGTAATGACTGAAATGTCTGCCATTTTTGTTTTCACAACCAAAACAACTCAACCTCATCCCCAGGTCTTCTCGGTTAATGGTGCATTAACCTGCAAGAAGGCTACACTTTTGACGTCATCGGTTGATTAATCGAAAAATTCTTTCAAATTTGGTCATCAGTCACTGGTTATGGTGAATTATGTGTGTGCTTTTAGCCAATCAGAGTCAGGGAAATATTTTGAATGAATAATAATAAGGCATATTGTTTCCGGTTGGCAACAATAATTTTATAACCCCAAAATCAGAATACAGTTTTAGTTCAATATGCTTTTAAACTTAACATACCCCAGAAAGAGTTTGTAGCTAATTGTTATAAGTGAGATGAGGTCTTAACTAATTATTATCATATTTGTTAATTTGTATTTTTCCTTTGTTTCAACTTCATTAGCACACATTAGCATAACCAAAAACAAAAGGAAATCAAGAATTACCTGAAATAAAGAATAACCTACAACATATTCAAGATGAGGCCTAGACCTCTAATCATTTTGATGCCTTTCATTTTCATCCCCTTAATTCATTTTTTTTCTTTAAAGAAAGATCAGGAGTGTACAATGGTACCTGGTTTGCAGTTTTCACACTAGATGAACTGGTGGTGTTTCTAATATATTCTTGGTTTACAGTAAATTTGATTTCCCTTTGTTTTAAACTTTTTACCATACATTACCATACCCAAAAAACATTTAAGAAAATCAAATTTAAACCAAGGACAAAATTGAACTACAACACACCCATCTTTGCCATGAACTTTTAATTTGAACATTTGATTTTGTTGCAGAGTATGCTTCAATCTGCCAAAGTGGAAAGTTCTTCTCATTTTACTGCATCTAAAAAACGGAAAGCTGATTTTGCAGAATCGTTGAAACATCTTGCTCATAACACCTCAGAGACAAAAAATCCACAATTTTACTCAGAAATGTCCAAACTTATTTTAGAATTGGAAAATGTCCTTGGAATGGAGGGGAATGTCTCTGGCCAAGAAACTGGACTGGAACAGGCTCTAAGTTCTCTTTGCATTGAAGGGAACATCAGGTACAACTGTTAGTCAAGAATAGTTTCTATAGCATGCAGAAATAGGTTGTATGGAATTGATTCTTGAATGTATCTTAGTAATGCATAATTTCCAGTTATAGCTTACACAATCACTAATAAATTTCCTCCGATAAGACTGGCCAGGAAAAGCAGGTCTAATTTCTACTATGGCTGTTCCAGGTTTTTGTTTGAAAGATATCCCACCAACTGGGAATCCACCCCTTTGGTTTTGTTTCTTTATGCTGAATGGTAGTTTAGGTCTGTGATAATTAGCTCCCTGCTCCTTTGGAAAACAAATTAATGCAAGTGTACAGTTGATAAGGTATTGTTTATATTTTTGTAATTTTAGAGAGGAAGCCAATGCTGAGGAACACACAAAGAATGAAGAAGGTATACTTATAGTTGAACTTTACTTACAGTAGAATACTGATTCCATCATAATTCCAGTAGCCTGCATCGCAGACAGTCTAAATCCCCAATATAGACAGATGGACTATATCAAGTTCTCTATCTGGGTCTTGAGTGACAAGTCCGGCTACAATGCAGGCCTTGATACCATGCAGTTGTATCGATATTTGTGCAGTGTGGTCACACAGAAGAGTAGCATAAGCTTTTATCAGCAGGATAAGTCGTGACCCTTTATCAAACCTTGATACAGCAAACACCTGCATATAAGAACAGGTGGATTAAAAATTTTAGGCTAAAAGTTGGTGTATATAAGAACCAATTCAGCTTGATAAAGAAATGTTCATGTTCTTATATAAAGATATAGAGGATGCCAGAATAAGAAACCAATACAGTAACTAGTATGTTTACTTACAATAGTAATATTTTTGTTTTAGTTCAAATTTATTTTTTGTGCAAGTAATAAAACATTGTTTGTTAATTAAACCTCTTGCAATATAAAATGTATAGTATTTCTGAAAAATTTTAAGAACATTTTCAGGCTGATTTCTCACTTGGCACCTGGTTAGAAAAAACTTGATTAGCTTGAATCGCTAAATCATAGGTCCTAATATGTGGGTGTTATTGTATCAGTATCTTTATTCTCCATCCTGTTCTTTATACACTTCCTATGGTACAGATGACGAGAATTTGTTTAGCAATTAAGAACTTTTTACTTGTGATCATTTTCTATTTCCTTGTGGCTTTATGTTGATGGAGCAGTGTTACTATAAGGAGAAATTTAAATATTGGTCACTGTAAGGGGTCAAAGGGTTAACATACATGCAACCCAGGGATTTTCAGTGGGGTCAGAAGTGCTGTTTCTCCTGAACCGTTAGTTAGAGTTGGTAGCAAAGCTGTCACTTAAACATAAATCTGCGAAACGAATGGAACAAGGAATAGTATTCGCCTTCCCCCCGCCAAAACTCTTTAGCTTTAATTTCCAGTCGATAGAAAGTGGTCAAATCAACTGTACTGATAGGGTTTCCCTTTTAATAGCAAAAACTCCTTTACAACTATTAATGTTCTTTAAGATGAAATTTTTATTAGTGAAAAGCAATTTGCGCCATGTGAATAAGCAGTTATCTAGTTATGGAGGGTACATAACTATTAATTTATTAGAAAGCAGAAGGCTTCAGACAAAAATACTCAAGATATTTGCACTAGTCAAACGTAAATTAGTGTATCCGCTCAGTTACCCTGCACTCAATGATATTGCCTCGTGTTTGCTACAACCTCGTGAGTGCTTGCTGTGTAATAAGCGGCTGGCTACTTTGCAATGTTTAGCCACATTTCTTTCGGGAAAAATAATACATTTTTTCATTTACATTTACAGTGGTTCCTCCAGAAATAAACCTTCGTGGACGCTTGGCTGTAGAAGCGTACAACAAAGCCCTCGCGGAAGGAAAGACTTGCATCAAGAGGGTGCCAGTCATGTTTATTGGACAGGATCGCGCTGGAAAAACCAGCTTAAAAAAATCACTGATGGGACAGCCTTTCAACCCAGATGAAGGCAGCACTGTAGGAATAGATATCGACCCTTCACTTTTTGAGATTTCAACTGAAATTTGGAGGACAGGGGAGAGAGATCAGGAAAGAATCTCTGAAGGAGGTATTTCTTTCGAGCACCATGCAGCTCGACTGGTTGTGAGCAAGCTGAACGAAGAAGAAAGTGTTCCCAGTGAAAGGACTGAAGAGGTGGTTCAGTGTGAAAACACTCCACTGACTGACACAGTACACTCAAATGTTCAAGCAGGCGGTGTGTCAAATCAGACAACTGCAGAAGTGCGTACTAAAAACAGCCATTACAATGGTCCATTCCTTGACAATGTTATAGGAACCCAAAATAGTGAGATGACAGAAGGTACAGGAGAATCTCATCAGATACCTGGGAAAGTAGAAACTGATAAAACCGATTATGTTCTGGACGAGACATTGCCAATGCTACCCGACGCAACCCAGACTAGGTTGGAGGACCCAGCCTCACCAAAGATACCAGAAGAGGTGGAACGCTTGATCAAAAAGCTTTTGCAGAAAGGCAACAAGGAAACAGATGAAGAGGATGGCATTTATTCTGTACTTTGGGATTTTGGTGGTCAATCAGTGTACTATACAACTCATCCACTCTTTCTTACAACAAGAGCAATTTACCTTCTGGTTTACGACCTCAGCCGAAATCCTCATGAAACAGCCAAGCCTGTTGTAAAACAGGGATTGTTCAAGAAATTTGAAGACTCCTTCAGCAGAAAAACCAATTTAGACTTCCTAGATTTCTGGATGAATTCCGTTGCTTCTCTGGTCTCTCAAGGCGAGGCTGGTCAGATAAATTCTGGTCCTAGATCTGAAATTCTGCCAGAGAAACTTCCCCCTGTGTTTCTGGTTTGCACACACGCAGATGATCCTTACGACGGGAAAGAACCTCTGGCAACAGCCCTTGAGGTGTTCGGCTCATTACACTCCAAACCGTACAAAAGCTTCCTGTATGATGATGTGTTTGTTGTGGACAATAGGAAATCTGGCCTTGAATTCGAGTGTTCAGAGGTCGCACGCTTGCGTGAAAAATTGCTTGCTGTTGCCAAAGAGCTTCCACAGATGAAAGAAGTTATTCCGATCAAATGGTTGAAATACGAGAAGGCTATTCAAGCCGCTGTTGAAGAGGGGCACAAATGGATTTCTCTCGAAAGAGCTAAACATATTGCTTCTGAAGTGTGCAAAATTTATGATAATCAAGAGTTTGTGACGTTGCTGAATTTTTTCCATGACCAGCGGATTTTGATTCATTTTGATGAAACTGCGGTGTTGAACAGTTTGGTTATCTTGGACCCTCAATGGCTCATCGATGTGTTCAAGAAGGTAATAACCGTTCAACCTTATGTCCATGAAAATAAGGAAGTCAAAGACCGGTGGCATAAACTTGAGACGACAGGCATACTAGATGAATCACTTCTACAACATGTCTGGGGTCCTTTGATAGATCACCAAGACACATTTGAGAGCCTCATTGCGATCATGGAGAAATTCAGCTTACTTTGTCCATGGCCTGTATCAGATTCGTCATGTACCAAGGAGTACTTGGTGCCATCCATGTTGATGTCATACCCACCGCAGGACATTATCAAGTTGGTTGCTTCTGCCAGAATTCCCTCTCTTTTCCTTAGGTTTAAATCAGGACAAGTTCCTCCTGGTCTGTTTCCCCGACTCATCTTGCAGTTTTTTCAGTGGGGCAAAACTGAATTTTGGAGCCCAGTAAACCCCCAGATGTACCTCAATTTTGCCAGGTTTCACACATTTGGGGACCAAGACTGTTCCGTGGTCCTCCGGTGTCACTCTGGGTCCATTGAAGTTGTTGTTCACCGAGGGAATCTTGTGGTCGAGTCTATGGATTCCTTGCACTCATCGCCGAATTCTTCTACAAGTGGCCACTATGATGCATTTGAAGCTGCCTGTGCTCGTGCTGTGTGTAGACAGTTAGGTTTGATGCTCGAGTGCATGCGGAATGAATTCCATTGGTTAAGGAATATGAAGTATGAGCTAGGTGTCATCTGCCCGGTCTGTTCCCAGGGAGGTCTGATCAACTACTGTCGTACTCATCACAGGCAGGGATGTGAACGAGAGGAATGTCTGCACTTCTGGTCTGAGTCAGAGTTGAGCAGTGCTGACAGGGTTGTCTGCACTAAGGAGGCAGCTGCATTAAATAACAGAGTTGATGCCAATCTGTTTGCACCTTGGCTTGCAGCAGAAGGTAAACAGGTGAGCACGGTGGTACAATGACTATTTGAGAGGGGCTGAAGTCACTAAAATCACTTGTCCCGTGGTTGACCGTTGATAATTACTAAGAAACCTTCTGATTGAGTACGAGGACAAGTGGTATTTATGTCTCCTTGATCGCTAAGGAGGCGTTAGGGGTAAGATTAGCTTGACAAGTGATTATCCTAACCTCAAACTAGTTTTCTCAGCTCTTAATCGTATTTAATCTCTTACCCGCTACCAAATAGGGAGGACCCTTTGAATTTATTAAGAGTTAGTTTCTAAAGAGTCTCGTTTCGTTTTAACGTGGGAGTGAAAACACAAAAATTTGTTTTAATCAACTTAGTTGATATGAGGCTAAGTAAAATTTGTGCTTGACGCTCTTCTAGTAACTATGCCGCTAATCTACACTCTTTTACTTAGTCGCCTTTATCATTTGAATATGATTACATTTTTGAGTTAAGTAATAACTGTGTATTCATCAACCCTCTCTGTACACTAAATAATTTTTTTTCATTTCCGTGATCATCAAAGTTAGCGATTGATGAACATGATGGAAGACGTAGACTACCTGATAATGGAGGTACGTTTCAACTAATTAACAATGATTTAACAGTCGCTAGCCCATTGGTAGTAGAAATGTCGATACGTGATGCTGATTTCCGTAAAATCTCAGACCTTTTACATGAGACGATCCGCAACGACGAAATCTAGTGCAATACAAAGTTGCAATGTTCGAACAATGCTGCAACTATTCGAAACAATGTCGCAACAATGTTGCAACTCTTTGTTGAGCTAAAAATCGTCGTTGCGAATCGTCTCGTGTGACATCACCTTAATGAAGGAAGAGGGTTCAGTAATGAAGAACACTGACTGCAAAATTTCTCTCGACTGGAAAAGAGTTCTGAAAATAGACTGAAAATGTAACGTGCTGTGACACTTTTTGGTACCAGATGGAGGCTCCGATCCGGGGTGATTGGTGATTGGTTTGTCAAAGGTCTAACTTCGCTCTCCGTCAATTCCTTTTTCGTTTTTCGTTAGATTTAATGGTCATTAGAATAAAACTATGATAGAAATAAGAATTATTGTTCCTTACCTTTCATTTTACTTTTTCTTTTAACTGGGCCGCCTAGATGAGCAATTGGTATTTTGCGGGCCAGTTTATTGTAATACCATTTCTAATAAATAAAGTTGAAGTTGAAGCAGTTGAAGTTATGGGTGCTGGCAACATATCTTGCAGGAAATGAAAATACGTGGATTGCTATCCCTGATACGATAATGGAATCACTGCTGTCAGCGTCATGTGAGCCCAGGGAAGTTGTACATCAATTGAAACTGAGTCTTCAGTGGGACCAGGCCTCCTTGGAAGATCCGACGCCTGAGAACAAGAGATTGATTCGTTACTTGGCAACGAAGGCTAAACATTCAAACAGGCTTGACGTGGTCAAGCACTTGAGAGAGATCACACCAGCTGGGACCACAGGTGAACTGCAAGAGTCATGCATTGTATTATTTCGAGGTCAAACCGTGGCGTAGTTTTAAGAGCACTCTCCTTAGGCCGATTTAGACGGTACGATTTTTGCTTACGACAATCGTACGCGACTAGCATACGTCGTTACTTTCGACCAACCACACGCGCACAATTTTCACTTACGACATCCACATGTGTCGTACGAATGTCGTGTGTCTAATTTACACGAACCGATTTGTCCTTAGGTCATGACGATAGTCTTAAGCAAAACTCGTGCCGTCAAAATTGGCGCTACCGGTGTAGCCTGGGTTTGCATCTTGGAGTCGACGCCATATTTGGGTCAAGTTTGCTGCTTGTTCTCATTCTTATTATCCTGGTGCAGGGCTTTAAAAAACTCCTGTCAGGTCGTCTGGGACAAGTAGATTTTTTCTTCGGGCAAATAACTTTTTTACCTCACTTGTCTTGTCTCTGGTAACTAAATCATTAGCTAGGGCAAGCAAGCAATGGCCCTTAGCAAGCAAAATGTGAGAGCTACTTGTGCAAAGGACAACAATTCTTTCCAATCTAGAATGCACACCCTTAACAGAAGTTTCTCAAAACAAATTACAATTATAATTCTAGCTCGACTTCAGTTTTCAGAACGTTTTGGTGCTCAAATCGAAAATAGTAATCTTTTCGTTTTTTCTTTTCTCCTTCTTCCCTTCTTCTAGCTATCTGTATTTTCCCTTTCTTGCGATTTTCGATGATATCGGACCCCAAAACTCGCATTTCAGCCTCACTCCGGTCAAATGGCTACAATATTCGGCAGCTACGTTTTCAAAAGTCTAGCTAGAATTACATGTTGCTCTTGTCATAGAAAGAAATTTACACTCTATGTAGGCTGGTCTCTGTGATGTCAGGGAACTAAAAGTATTGCTTGTTACTGCTCTCTGGATGTAGTTTTAATTCATCCGGACTAACTCTTTGTCGGGTGTCAAGATAATATGCAGCGAAGTTTGTTGTCTGAGGAGGGCCACGTTTGCTGGCACGAGGTTTTGAATGGTTGATTTTGAACTCGTACCTGCTAGTTTGTTAATTACATCGTCGCAATGTTTCTGCCTTTTGTAGACGCCGTTTCCGATCACGTTGATTTTTTATTATATTTCTAGGTCCTCTGTTGTCCGATCACCTCGATATTCGGATTATCCCTGTTGGTCAGATGAGAGAAATCACCATTTATTTGAGCGGTTAGTATAGTACTCACAGGCAGCCAAGGATTAGTAATGATGACTATGAATCAGGGTTCTTCTTAACCTTTATACCATACCTCTTCGAAAGGTGAGCTTGGCCTGTCTGTGACTTTGTCATTTTCGGCCTGGAACAGGTGTATACTGTTGCCACCTCCATTTGTTTTTCTATCATAATCAATACTGAATGGCCAGCTAGACGAGCTGTTTAACATTTAATTTTGGCTAAGTATGTAGAAAATTGCAGCGCAAAACTCGATTACACTGAAAGTGAGAATTCCCTGTGAGGTGTTTTTGACAATTCCCATAGTCTTGAAACGATATACTTATAGAATTACATCTAAGCATTTTGTAAGAAGGATTAACGCTACCAACACAACTTTTCTGCGACTACCAGTCGTCTTTGGTAAGCTCGATTGTTTTAACAAGTGTTATTGTGGATCGTCGATTTGACCTTGAAGACTTGTGAAAAAATCTGAGAAAAAATTCTTCTTATCAAACGTTTATAAAATAATGATAAGATGAAAAAGTAATTCGTTTCGTATTCTTAAGAAAGCAATTTGATTGTTTTTGCCAATCACCGAACTGCTTTGGATCGGTGAAGCGTTCCCCATTCATCTATTTCTATGTAAGAAATTATCGTTATTTTTTTAAATGTTGGCAGGTGGAGATCAATGGAAGGACGTTGCTGAAAAACTGGGATTATCGCCAAACGAGATTCGTTTTCTTGAGAGAAGAACACTAAACCCATGTGACGCTACACTGGCGTTCGTTTCTCAGCGGTCTTATCTAAATGTGGGATGTCTGTATGATGTGCTTACTGAGTGTGGGCTGCCTGTGATAGCTGATTTGTTATGAGGCGACGTCATAAACTTACCACGGCTTTTACTGATCCGAGACTTTAAATCAATCCTGCCAAGCTAATATGGGCTTCCTGTGAGACGTTTCTCGAAATGCTTGGCTTGACTTAGAGGTGTTTAAACGGAAAAGAGTAATTTCTGACCCGTTTAAAGCAGACTCTCTCAGGGATAAAACCACTTTATCTGCAATAGCAGTAATAGTAGCTAGTGTTAACTTTATTTTATGTGGTCTAATACACTTAGCCCATTACAGTATTGTAAGTATCGCTATTTTCCATGTATTGCCACAAAAAATATATCATATAAAAATCTGGGAATACGTATAGTATTAAAATAAAATAAAACTTTGTACGGTAACAGAAATATTTCCACCACCTATATGAATATATTAAAATTAAAACCTTTTTTAACGACTTTATGGACTACCAGTTGCTTTAAATAACAGCGCGAATGAGAAAAATGAAAGTATAAATTGAGGACTCTGTTTTTTGCGTTTTCTGCTGCAGACGGTTACTCCTTTTCAATATGCTATCGAGGAACGCAAAGGTCTAGCCGTTTGCTAGACTGCAAAAAAGCCCGTATTTTTGCTCCGACCAAGAATGCGCGAGCGGTCATGAAGAACGAAGGTGAAAATAGGCTCGATCTCCAGCCTTGGGTGTTGATACGCCCGCGATTCTCATGAGGTGCGCGTTACTCTCGCCCCTTAAAAACCAATTTTGAGAAGAAGAAAGGAAAAGGGATGTTTTGCAATCCAGCCGTTGACAGGGCTGAGGAAATACTTTCAATTGTGTGTTTGAGTCTGGCCCCGAGTCCTTTGCCCTGCAGAGGTGGGAGGAACATAATAGGGAGGGAGGGAGATTTACCCTTCTGTACCTCCCCCTCCCTGCAGTCCAGCGCTCTACCGACTGAGATACGCTGGCCCTACCTTAGGATTGGGTGTATTATGTGTCAGCTGTTTACCTGGTTTCTTACCCCAGGAATCAATCACATAACACTATAACATCAACGATTGCCTTGACAAATGGATAAAAAAAGGATCCCGATTTCATTTTCCTAGCTCCATGATGGAATAAGCTTAATTTTGGAACAAAATAAAGAAAATTGTCGAAAAAAATTTATGAAGACCCTATTATCCCTTTTCACCCATCGAATTATTTTTTCTAGAAACTTTTCGTTATTCCATTATTCCGGCGCGCCCAAAAAGGGCATTGCGTACGATCCGTTCGTCTTATTGCTGACGCTAGAGCATAACCTGTTCCAAGAGTTCATTGGGGAACTGGAGGACGAAATGGAGCTTTTTCCTTGCGCTGTCCTTCATATCTGAAAGCCTGGGACAGGCCGGTTCACTAACCCAACATTTTGCACTGATTAAGAAGTTAGTATTAACCTTGGGTTAGGGGAGGGGTAGGGGGAGAGAGAAGGATTGGTAGGGAGAGGGGACCGGCGATCAAAGCTCTCCAATTTGAATGACCAGAGAAGCGAGCCGTGAGAAAATCCCCTTTGCTCTCTCGTCTCCTTTCGCAAGCCCCTCGCACGTGACAATTCAAGATCGATATCCACCAAATGGAGCATGTGGAGATAGATAGATAGATAGATAGATAATCTTTATTTATTCACGGTACAAAATTCGTCAGCTTTAAAAATGCCTAATACTAATATAATAAAAATATTTAAATAAAAAAGCTGCTTTCCACGAATGCCGTGCCTTACAGTTCTTTGAGTAATCGTTTAAATTGCCCAAGGGACTCTGCTTCCCTTAAGTTACAAGGAAGACTGTTCCAGAGAATGGCGCCACTATAGCTGAAGCTGTTTTTGTAATAGTTTGTGCGCGGTAATGGAATATTGAGTTTATTTTCAGAGTCCCTTAGGTTATATGCGACTTCTCGCCTTTCAAATTTAGAACTAAGATAGTTTGGAGCCAACCCGTGCAGAGACCTGTAAACCATCGTAGCTCTTTGAAATTGTTGCTGGCAAGCTAGGTTTTTCCACCCTAGAAGTTTGAAAAGGTGACCAGCATCTACGTCATAGCTTGAGTAGGTCAAAACACGGGCTGCTCTGTTTTGTAGCTTTTGAACCTTATTCCGTAAGGTTATCCCACAGTTTCCCCAAACAATGTTGCAATAATCAAAGTGTGGCTGTATTAAAGCTTGATATATTAGTTGTAAGGTCGCCTGAGGGACAAGGTGCCTTATTCGTTTTATGGCCCCAATACCAGAAGCGACTTTCTTTGTTACTTTCTCGATATGGCCACTCCAATCAAGTCTGTCATCGATGGTCACTCCAAGTGATTTTGCAGTAGTGACCTGGCTAACTTCAAAATCATTAATTGCAAATGTCGGGGACTCTGTGAGAGTACTTAGCCTCTGCCTAGATCCGATAAGCATAAATTCGGTTTTAGTCATATTTAGAGTAAGTTTGTTTGCTCTCAGCCAATTGTGAACATTTTCTAAATCTTGATTTAGATGCAACTGAATATTGTCTGCATTATCACCTGCGTACGTAAGGTGGGTGTCATCAGCGTACATCCTCGGCTCACAGTTTGAAAGACAGTTTGGAAGATCGTTGATGTATAACAGAAATAATAATGGACCTAAAATCGTCCCCTGGGGTACACCACAACTTATTAAACAGCTTTGAGAGAGCGATCCGTTGATGGAGCACATTTGAGTACGATTCTCTAAATACGACTTAAACCATTGGTGCGCGTTACCATATATGCCGTAATTGCTTAATTTTGATAAAAGGATCTCATGGTCAACTGTGTCGAAGGCCTTTTTGAGATCTAAGAAAACAACGGCGTTGATTTTACCGCGGTCAATATTGTACGCCCAAGTGTCCGTGGCCTCAAGGAGAGCCGTAACAGTTGAGTGAATAGCGCGAAAGCCTGATTGATATTTACAGATTATATTGTGCTCTTCTAGGTAGGCATATAATTGATCATAGACGATTCTTTCAAAGACCTTGGCCATAACTGAGATCACCGAAATTGGACGATAATTGTTTAAGTCGTCCCGATCGCCTTGTTTAAAAAGTGGGGTGACCTTTGCGCATTTCCAGTCATCCGGAAATATGCCTTGACTTATTGACTGGTTAAAAATATCACGGATAGGAATGCAAATGAGATCTGCACATTCCCGAATGAGCCTAGCAGATATCTTGTCAAGGCCAGCTGCCTTTGACTTGTTTAGACGATTCAAAAGTGAGAGAACTTTATTTGTACTGGTCGGATGGAGCTGAAACCGTTTATCTGTGCCAGTGAGGTACTTTTGATAACCATCACTATTTGAGGAATCAATATTGCTAGCAAGTTCTGGACCGATAGTAGCAAAGTGATTATTAAATTGGTTCGACAGCACAGTTGGATTTGTTATTGATACTCCATTTACTTTCAGAGATGTCACCGATTTTTTCCCAGATTTTCGCGAAGTAAGTTCCTTTTCGGAGATGTTTTGATGCTGGATAAATTTCCATCCATTCTGCCGGCAGTAGAACTTCAGTTGTTTATTAACTGTTTTCACGGCTTCATTGAATCCGTCTCTTCTTTGCACGAGCTCAGATATAATTACTGTGGCATCGGATGAGTTTTCAATTTGTCTGGCGAGATCTACCACTGAGCCGGCAACTTGTTGTGGTTCTTTACTTTTGAGATCATTAGTGCCCACATGCAGAATTACTTGGTCCGGTGAAAGCTCCAAATTAGGTTTAAGGTAATCCTTCATAGCTTTGGTGGTGGCACCGGAGAACGATTTAACCACCACCCGATGACCAACGGCTTTTCCTAAACGTGTACCTTGGATATTCTTTATCATAGAGTCTCCAATCAACAAGGTAGTACTTTCGTTTGCTGGCGTGGAATTTTCCGTGTCATCATGGGCGTTGGACTGTGCTTCACTGATCTTCTTTCTCCGTGTTTTGTTCAGGAGAGCTTGATCGCAGGTTAGCAGTTAATCCGCGTCAACGATTGCCGTAACATACACAGTTGTTCACGCTTTCCTATTTTAGGGTAGGTAGGGTGTACAGGAAGTGAGAAAAGAAGAAGAAACATCTTTATTTTACCACCAATATTTCCGAACATTTTGGCTTAATTAATGGGAATTATCCACAAAGATTTGGCCACGCATCGACTGAAGAACTAAAACAAAAACCTGAATCAAGTATAGTCATTAGTTTAACGCCTAAATTGTGAACTAATAGAAGTCTTCAAAGTTTCGGAGTAGGTAAGATCACCATAGAGATAAATAAAATACAAAGAAACCACTTCAACCGGTTAGCTCGCTAATGAGCTCAGAGTCACCTTGTTTTGGTGGTGGACTATCTCGTATTTGTCTACTAATAATTCCTTTCATTTTTTAATTTTCCACAGCCCCAAAATCCAATATTTTTCCAGTTTTCTATAGTTTTAAACATTCCCCGACTCCTTATTCATTAAAAATATATCGAAAACCATCAAAAACTCTTCATACAATCATGGAACCAATTGTGTGGAATCTTGGCTCGATTTGGAAGGAAAAGGGCAGAATTAACGAAAAACAAGGCCTTGACCAAAGAATTCCCCCTTTTAAAAGTTGTACATTGGAGGAAGTTCAAGAGTATAGCGCAAACAGAAACTTCCCACGCTGCTTAACACTTCTGAACAATTGGCATAATTACTCCTCCTTTACAGGCAGCAATTATTGGTGCTTCGAATCTGTGCGCTTCAACGTTACATTCACGTCATGTTCAAAATGATGCAATAAGCCTGATGGTGTATTGACTGGCTCGCTATCTGGGCTGGCATCATGGTCTTAAATCTTCCCCTCTCGGGATTCCCCTCTTTAGTCCCGCAAGAAAAAAAATTCTCTTTACCATACGATAAATCCTTTATTGACCAGGTCTTTCGAGCTTTAATTGATATCGACGTAAAATATATAGAATTAGGTCAATATCAACTTATCTTGACCTCACTCCTGGACAATACTCCGCATATTATATTTTTTTCCTCAGTTATGCGCAATAAAACTTGTGAAAGTGAGCCCTCCAATATCCTCCGAAATTAAAAATGTACACTTTTCCCAGTTCTCCTACATTTCGTTATACCTGGGACCCACAGCACAAAATCAGTCTTAAGGCCGGCCAGAATGAAAAACAAAAAGCTTTAACGTGTAAGTAATTTTTAAGTGCATTATTGAGTGTGTAAAAGAAAGTCTTAAATGTTACTGTTGATTTTACTGTGGCACCTTTTACCACCTTGAACAATCGGATTCATTAGATTTTGAGGCAAGAAAGATCACCATAGAACTAATTCAATCAAGTGAAACATTTGGCATAAATTGGATAAGTTACTTATGTCGTTATACTGATTTCGTTAACGTTT